GGCTCAACGCTTGTTAAATATCGTTAACGAACCGTCTCGCGAAGATAATTCGGTTGGTTTGGAGAATCGAATACACATTTCCGAAACGATACGGGGCGACCTCAGGGGACGACGACCGTCAATCCCTGAGGCGCCTCCGTCAATAACTCAAAGTAATTCTGACTTATCTTTATATGCCCCTATGCGACGGAGGTCTTTTATGACTCCTGGCGTTGCTACTCGTGAAGTGCGAATAGACGCGGACCTTCCAAAGCAGAAGACGAGATACAGTGTCCCCTCTACCCCAGCGCGTCGAGAGTCTATGGAGTCGATGGGTATTGGTACAATTAGTTTGCCTCATCGGTTAACCAATCCAGAGCCTGTACCCCGTGCACTTACCCCTTGCGAGGGAGAATATACACAGACAGGCGCTTTTAAGCTTGGCACCCTCCGAATTACAAATGGCAGTCCAGCAAGGAGCCCGGCAAGGAGCCCTATTCGAGATCCTGATGGTGATACCAAGTACGAAGATACCGGGATATTAGCAAGTAATGGTACAGCAGAAGATTATTTTGGAAAGGTACAAGCGGCTCCAACCAACCACATTCAGACTCAAGGCCCCGAGGTTTCAGTTCCGGGAGTTGAAATCCAAATCAACTCTAATGTCGAAGAAGCGACCTCTGCACGCTCTATATCGTCTCAGAAGTTCGGAGAGCTTCTAGGCGAGCATCAGATAAATCCACCAACGCTTAATGATGAGAAGATGATTATCCCAGATATATACGTTACTAGCAAGAATACGGCTATAGAGGATAAATTGTTCGAAGACGACGATCAGGACGAGTATTCATCAGTCGAGATTCTAGATGTACGAATTGACCCAAACGCGAAGTCTGTGCCACCTTGCACGAAGCCAGCGGCAGAAGAGAGGAGCTCCAAAGAGATCAGTAGGTCAGATAGTGGCATTGCGAGTCCTGCTTCAGAGTACTCGGCCGCGCCTTTATCCAAGGCAGATTCAGGCTATAGTTCAAGTGTTTCACTGCGATCGCTTTCTTCAAGGCTACAGGCTCCCGAAAAAGACCGCACTCTTGAGGTTATGAGCGATACTAGTGTGAAGCAAACCAGGCGCACCGGAGAATTAGAGGCCACGAGTCCTATTATCGCGACAGCTAGTGTTGATATTTCTAAGTCATCTAACGAATTATCCCCTCCGCCGGTACCTATGAAAGATCCCCATCTTGTTGCTCCTGCTAGCCCCAAGACGCCAGGAGGACATTCGCCGCAATTTCAGCAAGCCCCCAGATCATTAGGCATTTCTCAGCCTACTCAGGCGCCAGGAAGAGCCTTACCATCACGCAATACGTGGAATCATCCCAGCCGTGGCACCGAAACTTACCGGACATCTCTACGTAGTCCACCTACATCCAGTCCTAGTCGAAGCATTACCACTGGCTTCCGCAAGCCCGGAAAACTACAGAGATTTTTAAGTGGAAGTCGAGCACCGCTCGCTACCAATAATACGCATCCTGTTGGATATGCACGTGTTCCTGCTATCTCTAGGGATATGCATGCAAAACTTCAAATGCATTCAGGGTCAAGGCCTATGTCGTTCAGGAAATTGGCTCTAAGGTCTGCAGCTAGCAAAGAGACACTGGGAACAATCCTAAGTGTTGGAAGTGCAGAGCTACTCCAGGATGAAGATCTCTCTCCGAAAACCTTAGGCGGCCAAATAATAGTTCCAGATCGAAATCAAGGGACATCAGTTTCTATTGAATCAAAGGTTACGGACAATTCATCCACCTTATCGAAGAAGTCGGTCCGCCGTAAACCTGTACCCGCTCGAAGTTATGATGCGTCTCCTAAGCCACCTACGATCATGAAAACATCCCCGGAAAATAAGCTCGTTCAGGTCGCATCACCTAGAACAACCAATGGAGACCCTAACAGTTCCACTAACAGTTCCACTAACGTTACCACATCAAACAACAGAACGAGATACTCTACATACATTCCGCGACAGCCTAGCTCAAATACTGTAATGGGACATATGGAAGAGGGATCGAGGATGATAAATACCAGACGTAGTTATGAATTCTCTCAAGGCAAACCGCACTCTGCAATATCCCTTGAACTTCCACCACCTATACCAAGTTCGAGATTTTCTAAAAGCCCCCCGCCCGTTAGTATGAGAACTCGGAATATAGGTTCTTTACGAGTTCCTTCACCTGTGAGGTCAAAGTCAACCCCTCCAGAAAACATGGGCCGGCCAGGTCGACCTCTCTACTCTAGTAAGGGGAGTCGAGAAGGCAATTTGACGACCCCCGACGTGAGGGGTACTTTCGCGGCAAATCAGACTATGGTATCCAGAAGATCGAGTCGGGAGAATTTCCAAAGTTACCCTTCCGGCCAAGCTCATCGTTACATTGATAAGTCTTCTTCTCTGCCTACACTAAACGGTGTTCAGCCCACAAGCCTCAGACCGGAAGTGGTAGATCAGGCGCCTAGCTGGGATATTCAGATAGACCATGGTCCTTCCCTTTCTCGACGCTCATCCGATTATAGCCGTCGAAGTTCACTTGCAAGTCAGTCGAGTCGACGAAGCGCTGTAACTACTGGGCCAGCCTTCTTCCGGCAATCACACCATTCGCAACCCAATTTACCATTACATCGTCGGCCTAGTTATGATGAGTATAATATTGTGCCGCAAGACAGCTGTGCTCGGGATAACGGCCCCTACCCATCATTGTCTCGCAACGGACAGACATACGTCTCGAATCCTTGGAGTGGTCGGTCAATGTCATTGCCACAGCAATTAGACCAACAATGGGATCAACATATACAACATCCTACACCCCCTCCTCGGCACCATACTAGGCACCTAAGTTTGGATCAGCAAGGTAACCCCATGCCTTATCGGGTTCTTCATTCCTACCACTCTCCCGCTTATCGTCACATGCCGATCTGGCAATAAATTACATGCCCTACTGCCTTTCCTAAGAGTTGAATTGCAAGGGTTTCCTTGTGCTTTTTGCATTTTGACTTGAGATGCATCTCAACATTTCTAATTATTTCCTTGATATCCCGCATTTCCCCGGCGTTTTACTTTGAGGTAACCCAATGGCTACCATGTGACCCTTTCCCTCACTGCATTCATTATCACAAATCATTTTCCTTTATCAGGTGAAAGAGTGTGTTCCTGTGGTTGATATGTAGCATACTACAAGAACAAGGTGGATTTTTGATTCTGGATGATAACGGCAACAATTTACGACACTAGGCAACGGTCATGACGCAGACTGGGAAGAACAGTTTGCTGTGTTTTTTTCTTCTGTTCTAATAAATGGAAAATGATACCACGTATTGACGGACGCACATTCTATACCCATTCGGAAACAGGGACGTCGTTTTCTTCTATTTAGGCGCTATGGCATCAGGACTTGGCAGGTATACGAGTAGCTGTTGCTACCTAATGTTGCTAGAACTGTACATATAGTATAGCAGCAAGGAATAAGAGATACATAAATGCGAGATAAAATTATCTGCGCCTTCTAGTCTATCTGGAGGTGGTGACGTGAAACTAATATTATAGACTACCAACTTAGGTGATCTGGACGGGTCGATATCATCCAAATGAATAGAACAAGAGATATTGCGGCATAAGAAGAAGGATATGACATGGGAGCTTACAGAACAAAAAAAGTGTCGCATGCACAATAGTATATGACTTCTTAATAATATCCCATCCATCCTCCTATTACATAGGTTAAAGTTTTGGCACCAACAAGCTCTATTATACTCACTAGCATCTAAGAGCAATAGCCTAGTTGCATCTCTAATTTAACACGTATTTTACCAATATTCTAGATGGCAAGCTATATTTGTCTTGTCTAGCATTCCCTCCGAAAGACTACATGTTGGATTTTCAAAATTATTAGGGAATCTTTATACAAGGGGTTAATTTGCTGATTTCCATTTACACTACGGCATATAGCTTTAATAGTATGTATGAAGGCTTTTATTTTGCTAGTATCAGAGGGTTTTATCCGTCTTTACTTTTATTCTATGTACCTATTTTAAATGATTATATTAACCTGTTTGCTATATAGGTACCTAGGTATGTTTTTATTTCTTCTACTTGCGTATTTAACTAATTGACTGACTTGTCACTTAATAATACGAGTATAACTCTATTTATGGTAATACGAGGATTGACAACTATTCCGACTATCCGAGTACGACATATCAACCATCCGAGGGGGAATTGCGGGCCAAAATGCGGTTTACCGCTGGAAAGCGTAAAAGGTTAGGCGACCAATCAGGGCCTGCGGTAGCTAGCATTTCGCTTGTATCCGCTACGCTACCTAAGTTAGCACCCAACTATGCTTTTAGCACTGTGCCCTGTTTGGTTAAGCGTTTGATTAGGGAATTACGTAGTTTGCTCTGCTAAGCCACAAGAGTTTTTGTGCCTGCACTTGGGGGGGGAGATTCAGTTTGCTAAAGACTAAAGTACCTTATCTAACCTAGCATAGAACCAAAGTAGAACCACCTTGCATGTGGATATCGTGACATTGGAGCTTCTTCACACTACACTAATACACTAACAGTACACTCTACACACCACACCATCTACACTGCTGAGTTGACAGACTTTCAAACATGCCTCGTTATCCATCTGCATGAAATCGATACACGAAAAGAAAAATACGTGAATGTACATTCTAGTTCACATAATCCGATTACCATACTCGACATTCGATTGCGACCCGAAAGGAGACGGAGAGAAAACAGATACTTGCTTGCATAATAAATGCCTGACATCGTCGCATGAATATCGATCCCGATCCCACGTTTCACAACCCTCCCACCAACAACTAAGCTTTTTCTGAGACCTTGCCCATGAACAGTCTACCCCGGATCTATACCTAAAATAGTGTGACGAAAGTTAATTGATCCTGTGGGGGTCGAGAATAAAGTAGCGAAGCACATTCAAGTCGCATCTCTCCTGACTGTCCTCGCCCAATATGGCAGACTATGGCCGCCAGTCTCCCGACTTCAACTCTCCCCAAATTCCCGAGCTCGAGCACATAGCCAGCATGTCACTAGGGAATAGCGCAACACCACCACCACCTGAAGATGGTGCCGTCTCTTCAACAAATGGTGGTGTACTCGAACCTACCGCGATGGGTTCTAGCCCAGGTGAACCCGAAATGTCCAAGGAAGTACAAGAGGTGCTCGCTTCAGATGTATAAATCCTACAAGGCGTCGCATACTAAGGAAGACATGGCTGATTTCGTGCAGATTGGTGTTTCCACTATGCTAAATAGGCTCAAGCAAAGCATTATAGCTGCCAAGGTTAGTTATTTTCGATAATACGCTCCAGTTATAACTATTCTTGTCGAGTTTCTAATCATTATATCTTGTAGGAATTTGCTACATTTCTTAAGAAGCGGTCGGACCTCGAAGACCAACATGCTAAGGGCCTCAAAAAGCTGTGTAAATCGACTCAAGACAGCGTCCACCACACAGATCATAGGCAGGGGTCGTTCGCGCAGTCGTATGAGGAAATGCTCACAATACATGAACGTATGGCCGAAAATGGAATACAATTTGCGTTATCTCTACACCAAATGCATGAAGACCTCCTTGAGGTAGCTGCGGTGGCCGAGAAACACCGCAAAGGATGGAAGCAGAACGGCTTAGCCGCCGAACAACGTCTGACTGATGTGGAGAATGCAATGCGCAAGTCCAAGATGAAATACGATTCGCTGGCCGAAGAGTATGACAGAGTGAGAACTGGCGAAGCAAAACAAGGCCCGAGGGTCTTCGGTATCAAGCCCAAATCAGCGGCACAGCACGAAGAGGACCTCCTACGTAAGGTCCAAGCAGCCGACACAGATTACATGAGCAAAGTTCAGGCATACCAGTCTGAAAAAGCAACCGTCGAGACTTCGACCCGTCCAGAAGCTGTCAAGGCGCTGCAAGATCTCATTAGAGAATGCGACTCTGGCACTACTCTGCAAATGCAGAAATTTGGTAAGTAAATGCGAACGTAGAGACAAAGTTTGGCATATGATATTAACTACGTATTAGCTTCATTCAATGAAAAGCTATTGCTTAGTAACGGGTTGGTGATAAGTCCTTTGAAGACCACCACTCAACCAGGTCAGCAGTCTCGCAGTCTAAAAGAAGTTGTCCAGGCCATCGACAACAAGAAGGACCTGGAGAACTATATTATCAGCGTTCATAGCAAAGTACCGGCTAAATCATCAGAGCCAAAATACGAGAGGAATCCCGTACGTCGTCGGCTATCTGACTTTCGAGCCATGCTCGATGCTAACTTAAGCCAGGTTCTTAACCCTCAGCAAAATGTGTCCCTAAATCAGGTGACACATATGCATCAGCAACAAACACGGCCGCAGTCTCAGCAGCGACAAGGGTCACCTTCACAAGTGCAACAGCAACCAGGTTCAATGGGCTCTCGGACTGGAGGGTTCGATTCCATATCGTCACCGATTGGGTTCCAAGGATCAGCTCAGAATTTCACTCCTCCTCCTGGACTGGCACCAGTCCAACGGCCGCCTTCAGGAGCAGGGCATGAGAGGAGCTTCAGCCATGGTGCAATGCTAAACCAGCCTAGTATGCAACCTCAGCCGCAGTATAATGTCCGGAACTCGATACAAACCCCTCCGACCCAGTCACGATTCAATGGTGGTGGTATGGGTGGCATGGGTGGCCCTCCACAACTTGGAGCCTTACCATTCCAGAACCAGCCGCCTCGAGAGCAAAGTCCTCAACAACAAGGTGGGCAAACAGGCTTCCAGGCCCCGCCGCGCAGTGAACAGTCTCCGGCGCGGTCGACATCGCCTCATGGTGCTGCTGTACCGAAGACAGAGGGAGCAATATCGAGGGGACCGGTCTTTGGGATTTCCCTGGAGCGGCTATACGAAAATAGTAAAGGACCCGTACCGATGGTCGTCTACCAGTGTATCCAGGCCGTTGATTTGTACGGACTTACCGTCGAGGGTATCTACAGGCTTTCCGGCTCGTCAGCGCACGTGAACAAGTTAAAACACTTGTTTGATACTAGTTCGTCCCCCCCCCCCCCCCTTTCTTCCCCCCTCTATGAAGTGGGTAGCGAGAGCTAACTTAAAGGGAAAATAGACGAAGACGCGCCGATCCTAGACTTCCGGAATCCAGAGAACTTCTTCCATGACGTGAACAGTGTAGCAGGCTTACTAAAACAGTTCTTGAGAGACTTGCCGGATCCGCTGCTGACATCGGAGCATTACGCGGGTTTCATTGAGGCGGCGAAGAACGACGATGAGGTAGTGCGGCGGGACAGCTTACACGCCATCATCAACGCGCTGCCGGACCCAAACTACGCTACGCTAAGGGCGTTGGCACTCCACCTGCACCGCGTCATCGACAACTCAACCGTCAATCGCATGAACTCGCAGAACTTGGCCATTGTCTTTGGGCCAACGCTCATGGGCACGGCACCAGGAGCAAATATCCAGGACGCAGGATGGCAGGTCAGAGTTGTTGATACGATATTACAGAATACCTACCAGATCTTTGATGAGGATTAGGTTTAGGGAGCAGAGCATTGAAAGAGGTGCATACGTAAGGATTACCCTGAGATGAGAACTGGACCCGAGAAAGTAGCGAGAGTGTACAGTATGCGAGACCCTCGTCTGCCCTTTACGAGAGTACAGTCCGGTGTAATATGCTACAGTTTACTTAATCGTCTACCCAGGTAACGAGTAATTTGTTTTCTTCTAGTGGAGGAGGGACGGGGTGGTGGGGATGAGGTAGGGGTTAAGGGGCAAGGGGAAGGCAATAAGTACGATAGGTGCTTGGTTAAGATAATTTGTCTTAAAGCTTTGCTTGACTACTCAGGTGGTTAGCTCCTTTTCATCATACCCGTGCCTTGTATCAACTTGAGTGCATAACTGAATCTTTAAATTTGCGCCGTGGATCTATCAAAGTAAAGAGGCTTTTGGCAGTAACGTTGTTTTTTTGAGTAAAATCACATATTTCGTTACTATTTAGTCGAGGCCTGGTCGTTTCCTCTCTTGGCTACCTATGTTGTCATCTGTGCTGGCATAGTCTGTTGTAAGCAAGACAGGGCAAGGCTGTGCCCCGTTACTATATATATAATGTGCTTATGAGATTACCTCGGTGCTTACGCGCAAGAGACTTGACAGAGGCCCACAAGACCTTAAATAATTACTAATTGTCTGTTGTTGCGGGCGTAACTGTTTCCTTCATATATGATTTGTAATTGATTCTAAGACCAAGTTTATACTCGCATTTATATATTTACAAGGTCTAGGTCCCGGGGGCTTGGGTACTAAATCATCTCTTCTGCCGTAATCCGGTTCTGGAGTGAAACCCCGGTGCGGTATACGTCTCTTGGGTTTAAGTGAATTACTACATTATCCCGCCTCCGTCGATGGTCTTACAATTATTCTCTAGGGCCTTCTGAGGGTTTCCTATTCCTGCTACGGCCTGTTTTAGCTTGTTATCGTGGGTCATGCTGCTAGATATCCTTAAGCAGCGGCTGGGGCGGCGGGCCCGGTGCTGGTGGCTTGGTTCGGCGGCGGCGGAAGAAACATCGGAAGGTAGGTTACGGCGAGGGCCATGGCTATTTATTTATTTATTAGACGGGAGGGGGTAATATATTGGGCATTACTAGGGAAAGGGTGCTTACCTGACATGCCAATGGTGAAGTACCCGGGAGTGCTGGCGCTGCTCTTACTGGTCTCCTCACTCTCGCCGAGCCAGTTCTGGATGCTGATGACGACCGAGGCCCAACCGATATACCTGTTCCGCGTAAATATGGCGGCCATGGGGAGTGTGGATGAGAGGGTCGAGGAGATTTCGGCGTTATCGCCGGACTTGGGCGCGGGCTCCTGGTACGGGACGACTGTGATGGGGAATGTGTTAGCTGATGCGACGCGACATGATGCTATGTTATGTTATGCTATGCGATGCGATGCGATGCGATGTAATACGTAATGCGCAGATGAGAGAGTTTCTTACCCAGGTCCGGCCTTCGCATATCCTTCTTAGTGGACATATTTCCCTTCTCCTTGGTTAGGAATCTATTATTCGGGTAACTCGGCGTTGGTTATTGTATGTATTTGGGTGTATTATAGGAACGTAGATGTGATGTCGTTGAGATGCAATGCTGCAATCCATTGAAGTTAGGCCTAAATCCAAGTGCTGCAGGGTCGGACCAGGATGCCGTTATACGCTAAACCCTTTTTAGTGGACTGGGCTTTCCTACCTTTTCCCCCACCTTTGTGCGATGAAGCCACACAGCGGGGATCAGCCAGATTACATCCAAGGTACAGATCTACATACAGTCGGTTTATACTGTGTATATTCATTATCCACACTTTATTAAGTGCGAAGTACATAATGTGGCCTACAAACATTGATACCCCCCTGGGTTGCAACATTGAAAGGTACGATACAAAGGTAACCAACCTCAAGTTCGATGTCGTCTCATCTCGTCTCGTCTTGACTTTGACACTCGACTCGAGTCATTATATTAAGTATTACCAGTGTCACCCATTGTACATGCAAAAGTGAAATACCGAAGAAAGCTGAGAGAATCTTATGTAGAGGATCTAAGAGGGCGGGAAATGGCGGAGTAGCTTCGTACTTGGGCCGGCACTTTTGTGTCATCGCGATCCCCTAACTCCATCTCCAGAGGTCGCTCCCCGTTCGGCTTTTGCCAATGTCTCATCAATCTTCTTCGTACGACATCAGCGTCGCCTCGCGTAATGGCACAACCGCTTATTTCTGGCCAAGAGCCCGGTTCGCGGGTTCCTAATATATGCGGCTTTTGTATACGGGTGAGTGAGTACCAACGAGACGAGTTAAGAGAGGCAGATAGCCTTTCTAAGTTTCCGAAGACAATCTACAAAAGGCGACTGTCGCCGGTGATCTCTCCTAATAAAATTTCGGCATTGACGTGGAACATCAACCGTGAGGGGTTATTGTCTTTTTCAACTTCCGAACCGGGAATTTCATGCGAACACGTCTATAAAGAGGTATTTGAAATTTGTGGCTATTCATATCTCAGCACACAAGTGAGCAACGTCATTCTGGAGCGGAGCGAATGTTGCTATAGGTATCCCTCTTAAGTACGTGCATCCAACCACGTCTCATAGGTACCAGGTAACAATAGATTTATCGAGGATAATTGTCGCCACGGTAATTGGTTGAGCTCCTTTGTTTCTCCTTGCAGGAAGCCAACGAATAAAATAGAATAATAGAATAGTAGTAATTAAAGTCTACATTTTTCTCATTTAGCACTCTCGTTTAGTTAATAAAGTCTAATGTTCGGTTCCGTTACATCGCCGTCGTCTCTCTACCCACTTACATCTAACCAATATGGCATCCGAGTTGTCCACGCAAACTCGTCACACATAAGGGATTCGATCCTGCATTGGATCTGTAGACCTGGATACACAACAGCTACTCACGGCCGAATGGGCCTCCGGCGACTTTGATTGTTATTCGTATGCGGCAATTGGTTGCGGGGCTTTCTCTACGAAAGACCGCCGGGATTCAATCAACCATTTGTCAGAGATACAAGACCGGACGCGGGTTATTGATGACCTGCGTCTGGGGCTGGCTGCTGGCTGATAGGGCCTCCGGGCTTGGGGACAAAGTAAACGAGAGAGCAATATTGATAAAAATCCCCAAAGCCCAATGAAACACCGGAGACGGTGTTGGAGTAGCCTTTGATAACACAAGGATTTTCATCATCAAAACAATTCATTCTCCGCAACTGTGAAATGGTTTTCCCGCGCACAAAGGAGCCTATCAAGCAGTATCCTGTCTTGTGATTACCGCTTGCATCCTTGGGCGCCATAACAACTTGATAACAACTGCTACCTATGTTGTGCGTTGTAGTAGTAGAACGTGCCATCATCTCACGATACCCACGTACCATATGATTTGTCGTGGGTTAGATTAGTAGCATCTCAATTCATTTATTTGGGGGCGAATTTAACAACCCTCATATACCAGGAGATAGGGTCGCCAAATCTGGACCGGCTTGCCCGGTAAACTAACAGATTTAGCTTGTCCAGGGCCTCGGTTCAGCCCCCATTCTCTCTTCAATTCCCTTTCCTATTCCTCTTTAGGCTTTACTAGATTTCTTTAACTCCGTTTTAGTCTGTCGTGAGTTGGATCTGTATTTGCAAATTGGAAAGCTCCTCATCCCGCTGATTACGGATATTGCATGTGTAAGCTATTCGGCGTCTTACCTAACGAACACACTCGCGGGGCGAAACTATTGAATCTCCGAACGAAACCCCCTATCAGGCTTCCCAACCAAATTCTTAAACAGAGGCTGACGCTGCGGCGCAGAAAGGAAGTAAAAAAAAAAAAAGGAGCTGATAGCTGATATGATGATTACTATACGTGTAATCTGGTTGCCACGATAGCCGCGGGTTACACCCCGGTGCCTTGCAGCCTAAGCAAGGTAAGGCAAGATAGATTCAGCAGGTTCGGTAGGTTACGGGGGGAGAATGGGGAGATGACCAGCGTCCTCGTGAATGCCTAGGAGATCGGGACTGATCATGAACTTGGATTAGTATGATTGTTTAGGTAGTGGTAAGTTAAGGGTTTTGAGGCTTGGCTATAGGGACTACTTGGCTAAGCTGAGATAGCGTGCCAAGTGTTTATTAATCGTATTGATCCAATTTGTATCATGATATTCGGATAGGTTTATGTATGTACCTAACGTTGGAGTAGGTATTTTTAAATATCGCTTCAGTCCGACGAATCTAGCGAATCTAGCGAATCTAGGTTGTTACCGTGATATGTTGTGGAGAGGGTATGTGCTACGTAAAAGATATAATACAATTATGCCATAATTAATCTACATAATATATCTCTTAAGATAGGTTAGGTACTTTTATTATCAATACGTTCTTTCATTTATATTTGTTATATTTATGAGGTATTATTCAGGTAGGTACCCAGTCAGGTATGAAGAGTAGACGGAAGGAGATAGGTATTGTGAGATAGGTACTATGTAAAAGCTTAGGAAGCAGAAGCGCAAGTGCGATGGTGTCAGTTCGCATATTTTCCCGCGCTTCCGATCCCATCCATTTGATCTCCACCCCCTGCCACGCAGATCATGCCAAACCAGAATTCAAGTAGTAGTATACCTTAGTACCTACCAGACCTAAAAGTCTATTGAGAACCCGCCCTAGGACCCACTTACATGCCTTCTTCTAGCTCTCACTGGTTCAGATTCCCAGATGCGGTCAATAGTTACTGGCTGGTTACTGGTTACTGGCCACCGGTTTACCTTAGGTACCCAAGGTACCTTTTGGTTACCTGGGTTGCTGCTATGTACCAGTCTTTGGGCCACTACGCATTCTTACCGCAACCCCCGATTTACCTTTGCCGCTACCACCGTATCGCCGCTACGGACGTGTGAGGCGGAAACTGTGTGTGTGTAATCATAGAAACACCCTCTTTTTTAGCTTAACAACATCTTACCACATCTATACAACACACACATGTTAAATTCTGTTATACACACGAGGCTTCGTTTGACTTGTTTGTTTTCCTTCTGTTGGCCTCGCTTCTATTCATACTGGCCTCCTCCGAGGTATCGTCGATTGCATCTAAGCCTCGTTGTATCGCATCCCTAGACTCGAATTCGCTTTCCTCCAATCCGCAATCATCAATCCGAAATACGCAATACGCAACACGCAATCCACAATCTGCAATCTACAATCCATAATTCCACCGCGTACGTAACGCTCATTTCGACTACGTGAAGACATGGCGCATCAACGCATCGCTCGCCCGCGATGACCTCCAGGCCCCCTATGGCCGTCCCTCAGCGACAGCCTCAGAGAACATTAAGCGGCTCGGGGTTGTCGCAGTCCCCTACTCACCAGCGAACCCTCTCGCAACAATATTTACCCCCGTCCCCTATACGGAAATCAGAGAGTTTTCATGAGCAATCTATCGATGCGGGCGATGTCGCACAGAATAGATTTAATACACTCCCAAGAAGGGGAGGCTCGAGGCTCAAGCTCGAGCTCGCCAATGATGGCATCGAGCATCCCGGCTTCAGCGAATCCCCGCAAAACTTGGATACCCTATCTGCCAACAAGGTCTTTACCCCGTCGCGGATGATGTCGATGAATGATGCATCTGATGCTGGCGATCTAACTCCTCGAACGTCGAGATGCCAAACGGCTGATGATGATTCGGTTCCCCTGCCCATGCCGCCTCGTCGAATCCGATTCGTTGTGCCTGTTAAACGGTCGGAACCTTCAAGTATCAGTACGCCTCCTAAGAAGGACGCCCGACCGAAGCCCTTCGTTCTCGATCCACCGTCGATTGCTGCTCGGTACCCCAACACGGGCAAGTCGGAGTCCACCGGTAAAACTAGAACTAAGGATGTGCCCGCTCGTGCGTGTACTGACCCATGTACAGGAGTCGCCGATTTCTATCGTTGGAATGGATCACACCCTGAGGATCAGTTTTCTGATAATATTATTAGGCATGGATATTTCGACAAGGCACCGGCGCAATCTACGCAGGAGCCTGCGTCGGCCAAGGCTTCATTGTTTCCTGCGCTGAAACATAAAACTGGCCTTCACACATTATCTACCGTTTTTACCAGCATCCTCAATCAGAGAAGACATAATGGCCAGATCACTTCGGCTTCTACCTTCAAACCCCCGCCTCGAGTTACGCTAACCGACACGAAAAGAGAGATATGGCTCAAGGACCTTGCTAACCCAGCTATCTCCCTCAGACGTTTGAGTCGAACTATCCCCCACGGTATTCGCGGGAAGGTCTTGCTTGAGCAGTGCTTAAATAAGAACGTTCCCACAGAACGTGCTGTTTGGCTTGCAAAATGTGTCGGCGCAAACGAGATACGAGCCTTCAAGAGAAAGGGGGCAAATGGCATCTTTGTTATGGGCGGAGAAGCCAAATGGATTAGAGACTGGACCGTGTTTGTCGAACAGTTCGTCGAGGCCATCTGTAATGCTTTCAGTGAAGATGATTGGAAGGCCAAAGTTACATATGCGTAAGTGACGGTGCTACCTTGTAGATTGATATTTTTGCTAACCGCTTGTAGCATTCGCCTGGCTACTCATCTTTACGCTGAACATCTTTTAGACCGCGACCATTATATGGACTGGCTGGTCTCTGGCTTGGAAAATAGTAACCAGGCCAAGCTCCCCATGTGGCTTTTAATCATACAAATATACTGGAAAGATCTTCTCAAATTAAGGAGACATGGACGACGTTTAGTCAGCGCCATTCTGTCTCATCACTCTTCTGTATGCCCCCAGCAACATCTCTTAGCCTCAGTCAATTAACCCAATGAGCAGATCTATCATCATCCCGATCGCGATATTTTACTGCCTCTTGCCACACGATTACAGTCGCTGGTAGAGTCTCTACTCCTTATTTGCCCGGAGAATTTTATTAATCCTGGGGCTTGGTACAAGTTTCGCGACTCTGTAGCCGAGCCCCCTAGATCTGGTAACAACGAAGCCAGATCGAGAGCATTCAAATCAATCGATTTGCGTAATGACTATTTAACTAGTTCCAATGCCAAATCGCAACCTGCTCTCCGCAGCATAGTAGTACAGCTACTTGACAGCATACATCGAACACCTCTCGACACGGATATTCCAAAGCAGCTTTGGAAAACGAGCGATAACAAGTTGCCGATAGTCAGAACTATTCTTGAATGGTCCACCTCGCTGCATCGGCCTGGGGTTGCGAAAGTGTACATTGCCACAACGCTTCTGCGTTCGTCGTCTGCATTGGATGTCGATGTCACTAGAGCCGTACTGGACTTTCTGGATACCGACTCGCTTGAAGAAACTGCCCGAAAGCAGCTTGTATATCATCTCGTGTCGGAACTCGTTCGATCTGGCCACTTCTCAGTTCCTCAGTATATCCAATGGCTTATATCCCGCGGTGGACTTTCTTTTCCCTTCGAAGCAGCACGTGACGGGCCATGTTTCACGAGGCTACTTGTCGAAATTCCACTCCATTCTCTAAACGAGTCCATGAAAAATGTGAGGGCAACTTTATTACGAAGGGCGTCGTATTCGATTGATGATGAAGCCCAGGATATGGCAATGGCTATCAGTTGCATCAAAAGTACGCTCTCCGTTCCACTGGGACCCGGGGATCCGCTCCTACAGAAGATGCCCATGAGTCTAGACAAGCTATCGAAGCGGATCAAGTTAAGTAGTCGATCTCTAAAGACGACTATTTCCTCGTGGCTCAGTAGCGATTTCATTAGCAACGTCATCCAGAATTCACAATCGAGCAAAGGCGGTGTTGAACTACCCAAGAACACGTTCGAGATGGTTCGAACTCTTCTCGAAGCCGCTGAAGATTATACTATGCTCGAAGAGGTCTTGAAGCTGACAGCGGCATACTCGAATGCAGAGCTTCTCGCACTCTGTGCCGACACCATCAATCTTCATTTACCAGTATTTACCGCAACTGGAGCAGCCAAACCACTCTTCCAAATTTTCTATGAGCGACTCAAATCCATCATGGAAGAGCAAGGTGTCGGTGCCCGTCCGCTTCTAGCTTCTCTTGCTTATCTAGTACCGCATCTACCCGGCCTGGAAGATGTAGCGACCCAACTACAAAACGATCTGATACGTATAGACCGTAGCAGTGCTGCAGATGTTTCGTCACCGTTGTCTGACAACATGGCTACCCAACTTCAAGACGCCGAAACAGAGCTGAGTGAGCAAATAGAGAAGCTTGCTAGTTACACCAGTGCTGATAGGCCGACAATGGAGCGGTTATTCTATGCAATCATCAAAAAGCTACAAGTTTACTGGGGTAAAGCAGATGAGCGTCAGCGACTTTGCTGCATCCTTCTCACGAGACTTCGTGTATTTGATATTCAACATTTCAGCGAACTCATGAGGGGATGGATTCAGCACATTCGCAAGTTAACGAACAGGCCACATATCGATCAGTTATTTCCACCTCTAATGAGCTCAGGCTGTTTACCTCTTGCAATATTGTTCGCAACCGCTCCTAGGAATCAAGATCAAACTACCCAGTCCCGGCCGAACGCCATCGGGTCTGCTTCCGTCTACATGCAGGAGGTATTGCAAATGTTAGTCATGCCATGCAGTCCGAGTCCTATGATGACTTCGGAGGATTGCTATCGCTTCCGTATCGTCCAGGACCACGCTAGACGTGAGCATGCTAGGGAGTTGATGCCGTTGGTCCGCGGGGCGCTGGCCGAGTATTCGACCTCCCTTAATCAACACACGTCGATTCCTCAACCGTTAGATAATAAGCAGTTCGAGGCTAAGGTACTAGAAGTCCTCCGATCTTTAGTACTTGTCGATCCAAATGCTGCTAGCCAAATGGTTTCGTTAAAAAGTCCCGATCCCAAATTAGCGGCACTTATCGAAACCTGGACTACGAAGTTGCTAGTACCTCATAGTGGTGGTGGCCAAAAATCATTTGAGCAAGTTTTAGAATTGGCAAATGAATTTACGCTGCCTTTTTGCCAGGTCAAACTTTCTCTAAATCTTGCAGTTGATGAATTAGGATCAACTGAGGCATCGGAGAGAACCCAATCGCAATTTGAACTATTGTCGAAAGCACTTGACAATGCCATCGACGCTAACAATATCATGTGGACAGGCATGCTCCCTTCTCTTAGTCCTGATATTACGCAACACATGAGAAACCGAGCAGAGTCGCGCTTGCTAGATATCATTCCATCTCTTAAGAATCCTCCCGGAGACGCCACTTTTGATAGGGATATCTGCATGGCGGAGAATCTCTTGACGGTCATCGATTCCATATTCCGTGGCGGGTCGGGATCAAAAGTGTTCCAGTTTTCTAGCGCTCTAGTGGACAAACTTGCAGACTTGTGGGATATCCTATCCTCAAGAACTGGCGAGTACGCTTCACTTCAAGCCGCTGTGCTCTCGCGCTGGCTGCCTCTTATATTATCTTACCTGACTCTTTTCACCTCACCATCCGCCAGCGCATTGGATGCATCACGGATCTCTGGCGGTGAAATTCGTGGCCGTGCTTTAGTCATCCTCGCAGGTCTCATCCAGGAGCTCGATAACCACCTATCCTCCAATCTCGGTCAAAAAGCCTTCGACATCGCGCTCGTGCTAGCCGATAATTTACCCGAAGAGGCGCGCTTATTATGCGTACGGGCAGTGAAAGATGCCACGGCTGATCCTAGGATCAGATATCTATTCAGCTTCGCTCCGAACCCGGCTGAAACCCTAATGTTAGCCCATCGCGAGAAGCCGCCCCAGGGAATCCAAGAAAGGAGGGCAATGGCGATGGGGATGAATATGATACCAGAGAAGCTAACTCCCTTTGTATTCAGGAGGTGGGAAATCCTCAACGAACCCACTCCTGTCGTAGGCGAGAACGATACGAGTCTAAGCTTGACGCTGTTCGACTCCAGGAAGATAAAGTAACCCGCTCTTCTGGGGGAGCTTATACGCTCAACAACCTTATTTTTAATGTCTTCTGGCTTGTATCGATACGGATTAGAATTTGTTATGGAGAGGCCGGATGGCCTATCGAGAACCTTGAAGATAGGGGTTTTCACTTCAATAGTCGGAGTCGTCGTCTTATCCATCAAAAGACGCACGACCTATCCCGCAAGATTAGACGGGGTATATCCCGAGCTTCTTTTGGCTACCACTACTGCTTGTTTTTCCTTTGTCCTCATAGGGTCTCTTAGTCTTAACTTGGGGAGTCTCACGGCATTTATGACTGTCATGCATTTGCTGAGCCGGGGTCTTCATCTCTTATCTCTCTATCTTGGCGCGCGCCTGCCCGCGCGTGTCGTGTGCGTTATATGATGATACCTGGGCAGGATTTGCGAAGAAAGAAGCATTAGGACAGGACGCTTTTTCCAAATTTTTCCAGGGACATCGGGTTCATGGTTGGGTTTCCGGTTCGGGATTGGGGTTAGGTTATCGGCTATACTGGTCGTGTTTATTTGGGGGAAAGCGGAGTGGACTGGCTGTATAGAATTGGTTGTAGGGGAGATGAGAGGTGATGAGAGAACAGGTGTTGTAAAGCAGCAAGATAAAGAAACACGAGACTTCATTTAAATAGCTTTATCGTTCATCGCGTTGCCGGTGATTATTGTGATTAGAAAGTTTGCCATGTTAAATACTATAAATTAACTCCATCGCTTTGTCTTGCTCCTTGGGTGTCAACGACAGGTCATACATGATACAATCCTTAGGTGTGCCTTCCACTTTATTGAACTCCGATAAAAGGGGAATTAAGGATAAGTGTCAAGCAAACGTCAAGGTGGCCCGAGGAGGAAAAATAGATGATGGGTCGACTGAGAGAGGAGTATCGGGATACCTAATGGATGATTACCGAGGCCATAGAAAAGTATTATTACAGATAGTTCACAGGGAGGAGAGTTATAGCCATTACTATAATTACTTAACTACTCTAATATCTCTTATAATACTTTTTGTATATAAGGAACCAATACAAACTTATCGTTTATGATCAGTTTACCACGAGAAAAAGAAAGAAAAGACCAGGCCGTCTATATACAGTATCATTTCCATCGGCTTAAAGTTATTGCATACCTCATCTACTAATATCTTTAATGTAAAGTATATAAACTGAATGGCTCTAAACTTGCGTGTTTCTAGAGTCTTTAGTATAAATACCTACTTAAGTCCAGTTACTATCCATATCATAAGCCCCCTGCTTCAAGCCATATATTATATATTTTTCTTTGCTATCAAAACGTGTCAAGTAAATATTATTCGAACTTTAGAGGCTCGTGCCATATCTAGTTTGATTAGGGGCTTGGTGCTCACAGTGGTATTATATGATGATATTTATTTTTTGATATAAATATGTGCTTATCGGATAGAAGACCTGGGGCTTATTATAATGGAGGAAATATTTGTCAATAATAGTATGACTATATATACAAAAAATGATCGAGAATCATGGGTATTCATTTGCCACTACTAAGTTCTCATGCATAAGAGGTGTGCAATATGAGTTTAAGAGGCCGAGAAGACCGCGAGTTTTCATGGGCGTAAAGGAGTATCCAAGATTTATCTGACCAAAGGGAACATGAGAAGCGAAGTCGAAATTAACATGATATACCGACTAGCGAGTTTCTGCAATGGATAGGTATATTTGGACAAGATGGATTTGGCCTGTTTTCTATTTCACTATATTTACAACGTCTTAGTCTGTCAAGCATGAAATTACGATATTTAGATTGTGTAATTCATTCAGACCGTTGTAATAATACAGGTTGTAGGTAACTTGGGATGCCTTGTGACTAACATAAATCAATAACTATAAAATTACAGTATAAAGACAATTAACATATGTGTAAACAAGAAATATAAATCGAAACCCCCTTTCCCCATTTTCTTCGTATCTTGTTTTACCGCCTCTCCTTCTCGCCCTTCCCGCCGTTATTACTTGTTATACCCGGCCGATAGTGAACCAGCATTCGTGTATTGCTATACGTAGTAGTAGTGGAAGTAATATAAGACATACGTAAAGGTAATTACGATCTCTTTCTTCCTTCATAGCTCGTCCCGGATGAAGGTGTGGCTGCCGAGGACCCAAGACAACGGCGTCTCGACGCAGATCTGGCCGGTTGGGCTGGCGTACGTCGGGTAGATGCCCTCAGACGTGGGGGTCTGGACGCTGCCGGTGGGATAAGTAGGTGTTGCGCGGCTGGTAGGAGTCTTGTAACTGCTGTGCGCTTCATAGCTCGTCGGGGTCACGTAGTAGGAACTAGTCTCATAGTCCGTATGGACGGGATATTCAGAGCTCGTCGTATAGCTCGTTGGGTAGTCAGTGTCATAATGATCATCATCCTTAGTCTTGGTCTTATATTTATCGCCGTCGTCGTGTTTGTACTTGTATCCGTCTTGGCACCACGACTGCGGTTTCACTGCAAGGTCGACCTCCTTGCAACCCGCGGGCCAGGTGCTGTCGATGTGGTACGTGACGTACACCTGTCCCGAGCCCGGCATCTGGCAGTAACGGGCCCGCCCGCCGTAGAACCCGTCGTCGTACCAGCGTAGATACCCGTCTTCAACGCCGAACTTGCCGGCTGCGGAAACCCCGTGCTTTGAAGATGTTGTAAATGGCTCGTACAGGACGTCTCCGGCTTTTGCAAGGTACTCCCCGCCGCTGCTGATCAACCCGTCCGTTAGATCGAAGGTAGTTGCTTCTGCACAGCTAAGTGGGTTAGCGGGCGCAGTGCCCACGAATCCCTTGTCGTGGTGATGTTTTTTGTCAGAGTGTCCCTTGTCGTGGTGGTGGTCCTTCTTGTCAGAGTCATGGTGTCCCTTGTCAGAGTCGTGGTGTTTCTTATCCGAGTCGTGGTGTTCCTTGTCAGAATGGTGGTGCTTCTTGTCAGAGTGATGATGTTCCTTATCAAAGTCGTGGTGTCCTTTGTCGGAGTCGTAGTGTTTAGGGTGTTTATGCTCAGTGTCTCTGCGACTGATAGAGTCACGGACCGGCACGACGGCGAGCACGATAGGGGTGTTTGAATTGGTAACGCCCGGGATAGCCGAGGAAGAGGCAGGAGACGACCTCATCAAGGAAACAGTCGAAGTGGAAGTGGGAGATGCCGAAACTGAGTTGACCTGAGCCGATAATACCAGCAAGCTGGTCGCAACGGCGGTTCTGACCTGAATCGATAACCCCATCGTGGATGTGTATGTTTTATATAAACAAGTATTACTTCAGGTGAAATTATTATAAATGAACGTCGGTAGATTACTAGAAAGATAGTATTAGTGTAGTAGGAGGATGCCGAGCAAAAAAGTCGACTGGACGGGCGAATTTGGAAGTATTTGAATATATCATCCCACCCAGCATTTCCAGTTTAGGATAATGTAAATATCCAAGGGGAATGCTCGATTATATTACTCAAAGGGAGACTTGAATCTGGCCAGCCATGACATTCCCTTATTGATTCAGATCTATCACCGTAATTTACTCTTAAGTTATCTCGCTCCCCTTGGAATGAATTGAGTTAACCCCTTAGGCTGGAGTTGAAGATAACGACGGTCTCAAGGGAGACGCGATTTTAGATACGCCTCCCTTAAGAGTGGACTCGTCTATGTCAATCGCATTGAGTTATAGAATAGCTCCCATAGAGAATAGACTAAGCAATAGATGAATAGAAAAAATTTCCCTTTCACCTCTGGCTCATCTAATATCAATATTGATAATTCCTTCAACAGTCAAGATTAATAATTAGGTAATGTTTAGTTTACGTCCAAAAACCTGGATTCCCGGGCATTGAAGGGAAGTCTCCCTAAATTCTTTATAGCACAATGTTTCAGCCCGATCAATTTGTTGATTCATTGAATTGAATTGAATTACAGTCCCTGGTATAGTGGCATTCAGTTGTACATACACCTTGCGAACAAAGCAGCAGAAACGACGCCAAGACCTTCAATCATGTTCCAGACCGATACCCTAACTCCCTCATGACCCTGTGCTAACCTCTACATGCATTTCAACCCTCAAACTCCACAATTCTCTGTGTTGTTGAACTGGAGGTTCTTGGTCTCCCTTCTTGCGTACTATTAGCATCAACATTCAACTGGCTTTGCCCTTCTGGGTTCTTCGCCGCTCCAGCTCCAGCATCCGCTCCATCCAATAGATCTCTATCGGATGATCTGACGCTCCTACGCTCGGGATCTCCACCATATCCAGTCGGGCGTAGGCCTTGAACATCCTCCTCCTCTTCCTCCTCTTCGTCTTTCTGTCCAGGTACCGCGTTCTTCTCCAATTCGCGCTGTGCTTCTTCCATACGCCGGCGAACTTCAGCGGCAACACGTGATGCATCCGTGACAATATTGTCTAGAACGCCACGTAGACTACGGCCAGCACCTGCCATGCCTACCTGTGGAACAGGAGGTGGTACACCAGGAGAACGTCCGAAGCTTATATTAGAAAACGTGGTTAGAGACGAAGTAGACTGGCTGGTAGACGCCAAGCCATCAATGAGATGTAATGAGGTAGGAAATGACGATTCGAAGAACTGTTCCAGTAGCTCGTCTGCAAGCACTACCATTCGGAACGTTGGTAAAGTTATATGTAGCGGATTTGAAGGATCTAGGGCTGCGTTGGCTTTCTCGGACTGGGCTTTGGATACCGCACGTCTGGCCTCGTTGTCGGTATCTGGCTTACCTAAAGCCGATGGAATTGTCTCTCCTAGGTCAGGCTTCTTCTTCGCAGGTTTGGGACTGTCTGTTGGACCCTCAAAAGCAAGTAAATCTTCCTCGTCTTCGTCTTCATCATCACCAATAGCAAATGCACTATTGTTATCGCCTACTGGCTCCTCGATATTGGAGAATGATTTTCCTGTATTTGTGATTTGGTTATTTGGATGATCAGGATCTGCGTATTCAAAACAGCGCCGAATGAAAGCGCTCACGCTTCCCAAAAATCGTTCATTAATAGTACCCCCGATTGGTGGGCTCAATGAGCCACTGCTAGATTCACTTAGCCCATTTGGAGCCGGGGTCGTCGCAGAATGACTTAATGATCCTTCGAGGCCACGACGCGAGAGGAACAAGAGCGCTTCTGATATTCGGAGTATGCCTTCTCGATCGACTCTTCCATCGCCGTCATCATCATAGAGCTCAAAAAAGTATGTGATTGTGCCCATGATATCACGCTTCCCCTTGATATGTGCGAAGCCCGTCACGACATTTTGCAACGTTAACGTCGAGCTGGAATCCACATCCCATCTTCGGAACAATCTCTGCATGAACTCATGATCAGTCGGCTCGGGGCCTCCGCCCCACGGTGAAAGCAAGTTAGGTTCGGACCGCCTAAAACTGCCAAAGTATGAACCACGGTCTTTCTCGGACACGTCGCGCCTAGGCGAGGCTGGAGCATCAGAGATGGCCCATTTAGACACGCTCGCTAAGAATTCCCGGAACGCATCGTAATCCATTAAGCTAGTACTGGGACCCAAGCCGACTCGACCTTTCTCGATGCCGTGGTCGCGATGTTCTGGGAATGCGTCGCCGGCTCTGGCTCTGCTGGCTTTAGCTCGAGCTAGTTGTTCTTGGATGATGTGATCTCGCTGTTGTCGTTCGTACAAGATCCCGTAAAATCTGTCATATAGGGCTCCTAGTTCGTCGGGGCTCAGCAATTTACTGTCGGGTCCAAGATTTCGAATAGCAGTACGCTTAGCGAAATTCTCAATATTATTGAGAACCGCATCCTTGTTCTTTAATCGTAAATCCTGAATAGTGCTATGAGTAACGCCCGAGAACTCTTTAAAAGCTACTACCATCAATTCTTGGAACCTGTTAATAGCTCGTAGCTTTGGGTTTTCTGATTTGGGATGTGCGGATTCATCGAGGCGCGAGAAATATGACTTTAGAACAGATATGAAAGCACCATCGTCCGTAGCGTCTAATAATTCTTCGCCGTTGATCCTTAGAATAGCTAGTCCGACTTGGAATAATACCTTAGGCCCCTCGACAAAGAAAACATCTAGAACCCTAAATGCAAAAACCAGGGGCATCGAGTTGATATACAGAGAGAGGAACCAGGGAAGAGAAACGACGGAGAGTTGTACATCGCTCTTAACGAGATGCTCCCACAGAATTGGCATCGTTTTTTCCACAAGGGCTTCAAATACCTTCTGATCCAAGAGCGTACCATACATGGTAGAGGAGTAATACCCGGGAACTAGCCTATCGCACAATGCTGAAAGGAGGAAGAATGCTTGAGTCTCGGACATGTAAATCAACAAAGCGGCCACGACAATATTCATGGCCTGGCAGTACCCGACGTCGGTGTTAACCCAGCTGTATGCTGTGAGAACTCGTCGCAGGCGGTTGATCCCGTCTTCGCTCTGGAATCCCGGGTATTCGGGGAGACTTCGGTTTAAGTCTTTTTCTATTTCATCTATAGCCAACGACTCTTTCCCTTCGAACTTTGCGAGTGTGTCCACGTATAGGGTCGGATTTTCGAGTCGTAGATATAAAGATCCGGACGTTAACTCCCAGATCTCACCTCGGAGTCGGTTTGGGAGACCGACTCTAATAAGTTTATGAAATGTGGGCTGACGAATTAGGGTCGCATTCCGACCATTATCGCGAAGATACTCGGCCCATAACCTCATCTTTGCCCGATCCCTAAGCTTCTTCGGGTCGCCAGGATATCGAAATACCATACCTAAACCAGCATCAGGCGGGTTTATGTTCTTTTTATCCTCTGGCCTAAGGAGGTACTCCGAATAACATTCGGACATAACCTTCTTATATCTCCCGACGCTACCGACTGCATTCCTTAAGCCTTTCTTGAGGCCGTCACAAAATCTTTCACATGCCGGACGGGATCCGGCAAGCTGTATAGTGATCCTCTGCTCTCTGAAATCCTTCTTGTCTTTTTGCGCATCTCTATCCTTTACCGATTCTTGTGTTATACCGTTCCACGTGGTGATGGCGAGAGCAAACTAGAGTCCTCTAAGGTTAGCTTGAGTTGATACAGTAGCTGTAAGTGAAGAGGAATGTTGTCGTACCTGAAGGTTCTGGGTATTTAGGCGCTCGACCTTTCTGATAGCGCAGAGAGGGAAAGTAAATCCATTCCCACTAGGCCCGGCACCATGTGTCTGGCCAGTGAATGCGGCGGCACTCGAGGGGCTAGCGCCTTGTGAAAAACTAGTCGGGGTAGTCGAAAAACAAATATAGAACTCGGAAAGGTGCAGCTTGCCGACATAGTGCCAACCCCGGTCACGTTCTTTATCACCTTGGGTGACGTTCGAAGGTGGTATAGTAAGCTCGGCGGGTATCTCGTACAGGGGCGTCTGGGAGCTGGGAAGTCGGAACTGATTTTGGAATAGAGAAGCTTTGGAGGGATGTCTATCTGAGTTGGTCAGATTCAGTCCTTGCATAGGATCAATCAGCTGCTGAGCAGCCGACTGAGCCTTCTGCACAAAGCTGCTGAGGTTATTAAACATGGTTCAAGACCTTCCAGCAGAGTCAAGTCCATGTATTTGTAACTTAATTCATTTCTAATGAAGTTCGGAGGAGCAATAACGCTAAATAGGCCAGGGAGATGGAACTTATGCAGAAAATGGAAAAGTAGCAGTCGTACTCGTCGTGAAAATGCTAGATGTTATATCAGCCGTTATCGTATGTAAGTGTGTAGGTTGTTGTAAGGAGAGATGTTCCTCCGTGGGGTCGCTACAGGTTCAGGGACAGACACTGTAAGGTTAGTTACTAAGGTGTGCCGCTCTGGCCGGGTTTTCAGCCTCTCCCGGTAAAAATGACCATTATATTGTGGCTGAAGCTCTAGTGTACCTTACCTAACCTACCTAGGTACCTACCTTTAGGTAATGAGGTACCTTCTAATATCCATTTTGAAACCCCTTGAAGTGGGGGTACTTTGGTACCTGAGCTAAAGTACGTACATTGAGATTGAGGTCAACCTACATCATCTCAAGCCCATTTAGCTACCTATTGGAATTCCCCGATATCCCGCTGGCTTTCCCATCGAGACATTCGTCATAACGACCACTAAACACGGCTAAACCCGGATCCTATTTCTTCAACCTTTTAACTTGTCGCATCACGTTGTTACCTACCTACATAGTACATACCTAGATATAATTAATACTTTTACCAATAACTTGTCTAAATCAACTATATTACAATTGGCTTATTATTGATAGCCAGGTACTTAATACATATGTTTTTCCTTGAGCACGGTCTAATTCTCAAATGCGCATGTTTGTGTCTCAAAGCTTCGATATGGTCCGTATGATCAAGTAGAAGGGTAAAGGTGATTGGTTGAAATGCGTGGGCGCGACGTCCTGCAACTACGCAGCACGTTCCAGCTGCTCTCCACGCATCCAAGCATCCACGCAATATAAAGGGTAGTTTCCCTTCGTGGTCTAGATCAGACAGTGTTGGAGTCCACTTTGGTCCACTTTGGTCCACTTTGGTCCACTTTCATCACCTGCAACAATGGAATCCCTCCCCGCTTGGGTTTGTTCTACAGAAAACGTCATCGCTACAAGGCTGGAGATCGCATACATGTATGTATTTTGCTTACTACTTACCTACCAACCTACCTAACCTACCTAACCTACCTACCTTGAACCCATCCAGCCTGTCCAGCTCCATCCACTCCAGCCCAGCCTAACCGAATAACCAAAAAAATAATAATAATTAGAATAACCAACTCCGTTTTAATAGCACACCATCCTCGTCATATAGATTTTAGCTATTATTACCATTATTACCACTTACCACTTACCACTTACCACCTACCACCTACCACCTAATGCGCTAAAGAGGCGGACAACCATTGACCTGGTCTAATCACGCACCATCTTATCTTAGCACTCTCTTATAACTAAGTTTTTCCCTCCGTCAAGTTTACCAGGTATACATGTGCCGCCTCCTTTTCAGCACGTTCACCATGTGTACTCTCTGAAATAACCAGCTTACACCATATATCCAATTCATGTATATTGCCTTTCGACGGCCCATAGTCAGAGGCGTCCTCGCTGCTACTATAAATATTTTGCGCTAAGACATGGGTATCGTCTGATGATATCCGCCAATTGCGACAGGCAGCGTTTACCTAGTTGGAATATCTAAAGTACCTCGGATGAATCTTAAAAAGATGGCCGCTACGGTAGCCAAACCCGGCCTGATTCCACGGGTTATACAGGAACACAGCTTGCGGCCCGTCGCGAACACAGACACCAACAACAATTCCCAATCAGAGGCTGACGTCGAGCCAAAAGTACCACCCCAACACCAACGATTGAAGCTGAGCGACTTTTCTCTCGTGAGGACTTTAGGAACTGGTAATACACCTACCCATCATATCAGCTATTTTAGATGCGCCAAGCGTTTACCGTGTTTGTTATGCTAACCCAGTTTCTTATAGGCACCTTTGCTAGAGTATGTCTAGTTCGTCCTGCCGGCGCTAAAGAAGACGACCGTGACAAGGTGTTTGCTCTCAAGATCCTGCGGAAGGCCGAAGTTATCAAGTTAAAGCAAATAGACCACGTCCGAGATGAGCGTCGCATACTAAGCGATGTCGCTGGCCACCCTTTTATTACCGAATTAATCACTACCTTCTCTGATCACGACTCCTTATACATGCTTCTCGACTATGTCCCAGGCGGCGAGCTCTTTAGTTATCTACGAAGACATCGACGATTTCCAGAAGAATGGGCCCAGTTCTATGCTGCCGAGATCGTCTTGGTACTCGAATATCTTCATGATGATCAGGGCGGTGTCGCATACCGCGACTTGAAACCAGAAAACCTTCTCCTGGACGGTCAGGGTCACGTGAAGTTGGTGGACTTTGGATTTGCGAAGAGACTCGGTAGCAGGGATAGTAGACCTGTTGAGACCTATACTCTTTGCGGTACACCCGAGTACTTGGCGCCCGAGGTTATTCAGAACAAGGGACATACCATCGCGGTTGATTGGTGGGCCCTGGGTATTCTGATCTACGAGTTCCTCACTGGTTATCCTCCATTTTGGCATCAGAATCCTATTGAGATTTACAAGCAGTGAGTACCGGGAGTCGCATGTTTCATTGCTCGTAAAAGCTAATAAGATGACAGGATAATTGAGAAGCCCGTGCTCTTCCCCGCTGAACCCCCTATCTCGCCTAATGCGCAAAGCATCATCCGTTCGTTCTGTACTGTGGATCGCTCTAGGCGATTAGGAAATCTCATCGGCGGTACTCGTCAAGTTAAGGAGCATCAATTCTTCGAAGGCATAGATTGGGACGCGCTTTATCACCGGCAAATCAGGCCCCCGATACAGCCTAACGTACGGTACCCGGGCGACGCACAGTGCTTCGATATCTACCCGGAGGACGATGGCAAGCGGGACCCATACACTGACGAACTGTCTCGTCAATACGACCACTACTTCGAAGGGTTCTAAAGAATCATGGATAATGAAATATCTTCCAACTGTCTAGACGAGGGGTATACGAAGGCAAGGCGTAATTTGCGGGATCATTTGGCTACTATAAGTAGAGATTCCCAGCGATTTGATTATGATGTATTTATGGGACCTACGTTCGCATGATTTTTAGGAGTCTCGGTAGCGTTTGCTATACATATATACTATAAGATATTATGAGGGGTAGTCTGAGGGCCTTATCATGGCATCCAGGACAAACTAGCGTATCGCGGGGTTTTTATTCCCTAGCGAGCTATCATGTACTTATATACTACTACAGCGTGTTCATTTCTTACTACTTATTCGCACAGGTCGACATTAAGACCGCATTCAACATATGAATAGGCGATGTATGATCTAATAGCCAAGGGCAATTGGTTTATTAGCCGTATGTACTATACAATATAAAAAGCTTATCCACGTCACCAGCTATTATTAAGTACTTAGTATAAACATTAAACATCTGCTACTTCAATTTATTACTTGCCATATAAGCCATATATAAAGATGACAGTGGGTTATTTATATTCATGCTCATTTCAATGAGAGACCTTTAAAAAGTACCTAGGTACATAGGTAGTTCAGAAAATGGTCAAAGCTAATATAAAGAGTATTGGACATAGTTGCGTTTAGTTTAATTCTAAATCGCTACCCATGAATATTTCCGATAATATATTGATGTAATAGCAATGCCCGTCTATAGCCAAAACATGCGGCTGAAAGTACTAAAGCTACTAAATCGAAGGCAACGGACTAGGAAAGAGAAACTCATCACTTTATATCGTCAAGCCACACCGAGAATCTATCTAGTATTTCGAGTTCAAACCAACGGCGTCATTGGTCGCAGTTTAGGTACATATCACTCCTTTCCCTTTCCCTTTCCTTTTCCCATGGAAAGTGGATATTTGAAATTACATTTCCCTTCGTCCATTTTCTCGCCAAAGTTGACTCGTACCTTGCTAGCTGTATTGTGTATGGAGATGACAGGATACATTTTTTAGTAAAGAAAGCTAGGCCGTAGTGGTGAGCTCCTGCGATAAATAATCATGGTCAGTATTAACTTCAGCCAAGTATTGACTAACGAGGTGATTTGATATACTCACCAACGTTTTGGCCATCAACCGTATAGTAAGCATGGCTCCCCTCCCAATCAATTCCACAACCAATTATATTCCCTTCTGCGAACTTTCTGCTAGTATATATTTTATCGTCGTCCGATATGCACTCGGTAACCATCCTACCGACTACTAAAGAACAGTACATGCAGCCAGTATCGCCGTGATAGCCTATTGATACCCCATGACCAACGCGCCCAGGAAATGCGTAACTCATGTCAGTGAACTCCCCAGAGAGTCTAATACAGACAGTCGTCCCGGTTTTGGGCATTTCTTCATCTCGCAAGATTTCAACCTCGAAGTATTGGGAGCAATTAGAAGGCTCCCGGCGACATCTACATGTCCTCCTATTACAGCTCGATGAAGAGAGTCTCTTTTCTGATTGGCAAAGTTGGGATCGGCTTTCTTCTTAAGAAGGCGACCTACAACACTGCTGTAGCCTTTCGAGGCGGCCACTGTTAGCGGAGACTCGCCATCAACAATGAAGTCGACGTTGTCGATCTTCCCTAGAAGAAACCACACAGGCACCAAATGGCCCTTCCATAATGAATGTGTGAGCAAATCCTTATGCTTAGAGGAACTAACTTCTGTGCGTAGACAAACTCTTTCAAGTTCGTCTAGGTACCTCATGACTACAGCGGGGTGGGTTGGTTTTTGACTCTGATCTTCTTCAGCTGATCTATCAATACCCTCATCTAGGAGGGACCGAATGATAGTTGAGCTAATACCGGCTGATGTGATGCGGAGGGAAGGCTTTTCTCCATCCATGACGTTGGTTAATTCCTCGTCATTTAATGCCCCGATCAAGGGCTTGAAGGTGTCAATATTGCCCAGCTGGCAGGCAAAATGTAGTGGCGATTTCTTTTCCTTGTCGGGTGTGGCTGGACTGGCATTGTGCTGGAGAAGAAGTCCTATTATATTAGGGTCTCTGGAGATGGCATGATGGAGTGCCGTCCTTCCATCCTTGTCAGCTAATGTCACATCAGCTCCTTGTTCACAAAGCCCTGCCACGAATAGAGCGTGGTTCAACTGGGTTGCAATGATCAATGGTGATTTTCCATCCTTATCTTTCCTATTGAGGTCAAGAACCCCCCGACTAATGATGTGCTTGAAAATTTTCTCGTTTCCACCGACTGCAGTGAAATGCAGTATAGTCCTCTCTCCAGAGTCAATCCAATTCCAGTCCACGTTGGAACCATCGAAGAACTTAACTGCAGGGAGACTTCCGACCTGTGCTGCTCTATGAAGTGCGTATTCAGCCAGTCGTTCATGGTCATCGTGAAGCATATCATCTGATAGGAGTTTTTCTAAGTAAGTAGGTAGTCAACTCGACTGAAGCTGGCTGTCTCCAAAATAGCATCATCTCTCCTAACTACTTCATGGAGAAAGAGATCTATCAAATCGGTATGACCTCGCTTTAGTGCAATATGCAAGAGTTTAGAAAAGTTCGGAGGGGTGGCGGTGGCGGTTTCAGCAATTCCAGCTGTGTGGTTGCGTAGAAGGGTTTCCACAATATTAGATAGGCCGAGAGCTATAGCCACTTCTAAGGTCCTAACATATTCGGCAATGTCCTCTTCTGGCTTTGAATTAACGCAGAACAGTCGATACCACCTATTCAAGAGTCGTTTACCAAAAACGCTAAAACCTCGGCCTCGGAATTATCAGTCTCTATACTAGGTCCCTGAGGTTGTCTTGTCGGCTCTTCCTGCTGTTGACTCGACTTTGCGCATCTAACTCATAGCTGGATGTGAGCATGGTAATCTGTTGGTCAGTGCCGGACAGCGTAGTCGAGAAATTCCAATTTCACTTGCTGCTTATGACAAGCTTGAATCTGCTCGCGTCGACTCATATGTGCGAGGCAGACGTGTTGAGGCTCTTTCGACAAAATTTCGGAAATATAGCGGATACATAAACATGCCAATTTTCCATGACTGAGTAACTGTAAATTTTGGAACTTCTCGTTATCATCTAGGAGGTTAAAGGTACCTAGGTACCTAAGGTAACTATTGATACCTATACCTCTCCATTCTGCATACTGTTTAGCCCCAAAATCAAAGACGTGAAAATTGTTAGGATGTGATTAATTTTATTAACAAAAGGAAATTTACCGAATGCGGACATCCCAAGATACGGAACGGACACATAATATGAAAAGCATATGAACCTAAGACTAGGGGCATGTTGAAGGGATAATATGATGTTGATTCAGTAAAGTTTCTGATGATTACCTCCTAGGCAAGGTCCAGTAATTATTGGTATAACTCAGTAATTACGTAATCATCACCATAGGGCAATAGCTAAAAGATTACAACCGAGTACCCAGTGCCTACCCCTAAGTTGAACAAAGAGGTTATTATGCTATCTTTCTAGGATGACTCTTAATTTGATTGGATATTTCACATACTTTCTTGAGTTATCTGCCTAATCAAGATCATCTTAGAGAAATCGGAGGAGTAGGGGACAACTTCGCAACCCGTTTTACAGTAGACAATTACAATCACCCGCGACGCTACGACGACTCCTGTATCGTACAATGTCACTGGCGATGCATTGATATTGGAGTTTAGGCACCTTTTCCTTCGGAATCCAAGCCTACTTAAAAGGGATGTAGCGATAATAATTAGTGTTTAGTTTTTACAAGAGTATGCTGAGTTAAGCTTACACGATGTTCATATAACTACATACGCGAAGAGATATGTATTAATAGGCGAAGTGAATAAAAAGGTTACCAAAAGATATACCTCACAATCCACGTGCATAAAACAAGGAGTCGTCAGACAAGGGGGTTCAAACAAAATGAGCCGCAAGACAAAATAGGATTAGCGTTAGCCCCTTATTGTTACCATACAGCCATACCAGTTCTCTGACTGACAACTTACTTCACAACGAAAGCGGTAATCTCTTCATCTGCTTCCAAGTTCCTTAGTTAGGTACTGACATAGTTTAGCCCTTTACTAGATTACCCAATTAGCCACGCCTACATTAGGTACCTTAGGTACCTATTAGAGTTACATGAACAATTTCTATAACAATTGCTGTTTGGAAGTAAACAGCTAGACTTGGCTTATTGCGCTCAAGTACACGTGAAAGCCGTTGGGTACTTTGAGTGCCGAAACTGACCGTTGTAGATTACTTGCATCCGCGTTGAGATCAGACTATCTTCTCCATCTCTAAACGCGCGAACCAAGATCTGCTACTACATGGATTTATCCAGCATCACTACGATCACTAAATGCAAAGGTAGCCCGGTCACGGTGTCAAATATTAAATAATGAATTTCTGTAATGTGCTTCTCATTCCCTTCTAGCTGTATGACCATCCCCACTCCAGTTCACTTCGTATAAAAAAGAAAATAGATATCAGGGAAATAAACCAAGCCTCATAATGATATAAATGTACAGTCGGAGCTTGGTTGTTGATCATTAAAAAGTATTTGTCATGCGCCCGACCGCCGGGACTCTCTATCCTGCCACACACAGCGTGACATTATACACCAACGTTGGATCTGCCGCGGCAAAACAGAGAGCCTACGAATCAAAAACTCTAGTACATACCGCTCGACAGTGAACCGTCATGCTGTTTCAAACACTAACCCCCCATCCCCAAATTTCAACTATGCCGCGAGGCAAGTTTGAAGTTGCGCTTGGCAATCTGAAAGTTTGAAACCAGCACCAGCGTTCGCTGCGTCGCTGCACTTGTTGTTTTGTATCTACGTAATTTGTTAGTAAAGTAAACAAGATATTAAAGGTGTGAAAATACTAACATCGCAGGCCCTCTGCTTAGCAGCAGCTTGGTTCACGAACGTGTTCCTAAAATGATAAGTTAGCGACTGTGCTTATATAGAATCCGGGTCATCAAGCTCACCCGTTGACAGCAAACGGCCTGCTAGCATCTCCTGAGTTTGTTACACTCGGAGGTGCACCGCCAAGGTTCTTAGTCTGTTGGGTTTTGCCGTTAGCATTACCGCCAGCACCATTATTTGTGTTCGAATTACTTGAGCCTTGTCCTTGGCCTTTGCCACCGCGGCCGTTTCCACCATTACCGGCGTTTCCACCGTTGGCAGCGTTTCCACCGTTGCCGTTGGCAGCGTTGTTGTTTCCACCATTGGCAGCATTGTTGTTGCCACCATTGTTGCCGTTGTTGCCGCCGTTGTTGTTGTTGTTGCCATTGCCACCAACTGAAAGTATAGGTAGTTAGTAAATCCGGAAGTATAAACACGTCATAAGTTAAATCTTACCAGTGAACTTGTTGCAGTCATCCTGAGCACCACGTTGGGCAACAGGCATAATGACAGGTTGATGGTTGGCAGCAGAGAACATAGTGCATACACGGTAGTTACCAGCAGGTAAACCACCATCAACAGTAGCCGATAAAAGTCCCTGACCATTACCCGCATCATTGATACCCTTGAAGAAAACGAACTTGGTGGCGTCAAGAGGTTGAGTAGGGTTCAAAGAGTTACCCATATCTTGAACTGTAACGTGAGTATGACCAATAATTTGTCCTTGGCCATCCAGATCCTGAGGCGCAGAGTAGTACGTGTTGGCGGCATTCGTGAATGTACCGGGCGCAAAGTTCTGCACTTGAACTTGAATATCAAAGTCCTGGTTGGCCTGAATGTTGTCGTTGTGTTGAGGGTTGACCAGAACACTCGAAACCATCTTGTTGGTTGAGGGAATTTTACCCATGGCTGGTTCCTATTAGCAACTATTTACCATGTCGAGATACAGGTAATGTGGTTTACTTACGGATACCGTTACATGAACCCTCCTTCACCTGAAGACCGTTTGTCAAGGTTTGGCCGCTACAGAAGTTGATGAAGTTGGCATTATCGCTGGGTAATGTTAGTTACTGACCCCATTCAACTTGAATTTTAACAACTTACGTCTGGGACGCCGCTTCTCCATCTGCTGCATCTGGGTTACCATCGGACTGCGAACCGGTCTGGACGGCATTTTGGTTCAATGTCAATGAGGCCTGGTTGTTGTTATTGTTACCGCCATTATTGTTGTTGTTGCCACCATTGTTATTGTTCTGGTTCCCGTTGTTTCCATTGTTACCACCGTTTTGACCATTGTTGTTCTGATTGCCTTGGTTCTGGCCATTGTTACCGCCCTGGCCACCTTGACCACCTTGACCAAAGTTGCCGCCACCGAACTGACCGCCACCGAATTGTCGGGCGTTGAGGGCTCGGGTCGCTCGTCGGTTCATTATCTGATCGAACGGACGGTGAATAGCTGAGGCTTCGGCAAAAGCCGTGATGCCTAGCAGGCCGATGAGAACACTCTTGGTATGCATATTGAATAAAAGTACCCTAAGCTGATCGAGCGAGAGAGACAAGTTCTTTTCACTTCCGTCTTTCGAGGTGTGAGAATGGAAATGGTAAGATCCAAAAATGGTTCCAGACCGTTTTCGAATTAGCTGAAAGGAGTGGTCACAGACAACACTGAAGTGAATTGAAATGGGAAATGTCAAATGCTGTCAAGAAGAGAACGAATGTATAAGACACACTACCAGCGTATTCTAAGAGAAAGAGAAAGGAATGATAGAAACTCGACAGAGAATCGGAAATAAGAATTAAAAGCTGATGATGGGAATAGAAGGCATAAAAAAGGCGAGGCCAAGACATTTCCTTATTATATACTCCACCAGCAGGGTGGACAGGCCCCTCGGACGGATTGTGCCTGGGTGCTATGGAATCAAAGGCATCCGCAACAAACACTACATCATGTTCCCATGTAGAGGTTCCATCCCCAGGAGATGTATCCACAGTCTCAAAACGCGAACGGGGATGGCAGGGCAGAGAGGATGTCGAGGATAATGACAGGACCTTGCAAGGTGCGGAGGCAGGGGTATGGGATGGTCGAGTCTCTGGCCTCGCCTTGGCGAGACCCCACCACCGCCGAAGTAATGTGTATGTACGAATGCATGGGGGAGGTGAAGCTTCAATAATCCTAGTCGAATAGAGACATTACATACATACGGATAGTACACGCCGTAGTCCCTTAAAGTCCTTGATTTCTTCCTCTTTGCGAAGCGACTTGGCTCGGGATAAGGCTGTGTTGATTAGAGGATGTATCAATAATACATACACCTATCTTGAACTATTCCCGTACATTAGGTACCTAGGTAGGTAGGTAGGTAGGTAGTGTAACTCATATTCATCTGGTAATATCCCGTAAATGCTGTCTTACTACGCGAGCACTGCTACGTGTAAGTCGCTCAACTTGAGATGAGACGAAGAGAGTTTAGCGAAGGCGATTGGGCCTATTCAAGCTATTGATCAACCTATTTGAGCATCATCGACGACACGATACAACGAACAGAACCCGCTTGGACTGTAGAGCATTGTATGCGAGTGCTGAGACGAATCTCGGTTGCCTTATCCCGTTGATAGGTGTGGTAAGTAAGGTAGGGTATAGGATATAGAGATGGAGATCTGGCGCAATCTATGGGAATTCTCGTAAAGTTCCATTGAAGATTGAAGATTGAAGTTGAAGAAGGGGAAGCGCTAAGACTTCGGGGTTCAGTTGGCCGAACAGCTGAAATGGTCCGGGCCAAGCGGTACATCTGGTTTTGCGGCTCGATATGTCGCAAGTCCCACATTATTTCGGAAAAAGAACCAATTAGCGCAAGTTTAGCTGCAGTAGATCAGGCACCTCATGTTTCGACCCCTGGTAGTATTCTGAAGCAAAACATACCGACAGGAAAAAAAAAATAAGCGCGGATCTGTGCAGTCTATCGAACTTCAACTAGCGCTACTAGAGTAGTAATTAACTACCTAACTATACAAATTAACTACTACATACCTATTACATACTACATTAGACATTAGATACTACATTAAATACACTACGCTGAAATAATACCTAGATCTCCTTTTAGCGATCCATAACTTTGGATGACAGATAATAGTTAAGCAATACGATCACTTATCAGTAAGGTCTTAGATTGCCGATCCCTTGGCATTTTATAACCGGAAAAGCTTTTTTATTGTTTTAGCATACAACACGAAACGAGTCCGTTGCTAGGTTCGCGTTAATCTAGACTGTGATCTTAGTTATAGGATTCTAGTTATACTATGTAGGATTCGTGATCTCTCGGCTGAGTACGAATATGACTCGGATAGTAATCATTGTTTTATTCAAGTTCATTCTTATAGAGTATATTGCGGTTCAAATAAGTATCATATATATTAACATCCCGTATAATGAGGTAACCTAGGTAGATATTAGCTATACTTTTACTCAAGCTATTTATATTAGGTAGGTATCTAAGTAAGTTTGGTAGGTACCTAACCTTGTTATGTCAACATCCAATGAAAATCAAATTGTATTCATCCTCGTCGTCCAATTATGAGATCTGCCCCTTCTGATCTATCTAGACCCACCGTGAGCAACGTGAAAACAAGCTTAAAAAATGAAACCAAGCACCAAATGTACCTAGGTTACCTAGATGAGCGGGAAAGAGGGCTGAAGATTTGCTACCATATTCCGTAGAGCTAGGGTTACTCCCCCAAATACAACATATTGTCTGGTAACCAGCCCTGTCAATTAACTGCTGAGACATTATGAAGTTGTAAAACAACACCAATGGAAGAGAATCCGATCTGAAAGCAGATCTTCCTGAAGTCGGGTAGTAGCAACTATACACGCTTCACATTATTTCAAATTTCCTAAAATCCCACTATAACATATATCAGGGAACTCAATTGAATTAATTGATTTGTCAGATCAACTGAAAACAAAGCTCCCGCTCATTTTGGTTCGTGATCTTATTTCCGGGATTAAGCCCGGCCCCATAGGCCGTGCGTATTTGATAATAGGGGCTCCCGTCTCTTCACATAATAGCTTCGTATAAAGCCTTCTCCTTTACATAGTACATAGCCGATTTGATCTAGACTATCGAGGAGGATTGAGAATCCTCACGATACCTCCTGGTGTTGTGTATCCTGCCTAATCCCGAGATACTAGATTCTGAGAGCCCTGAAACAGCTCAACTATATTCTGCATCCCCTAAAATGTGACGTTCCCGAACTTTGTCGGCAATCTTATCCGAGATCCTTTACCAAGCCATTCCTTATTTAGCTTTAGTATAGATGGGAAATTGGTCGCTTAGAACAAATGGCTGCATACAGAGAAAGTCCACTAAAAAAGGTAGAATCCTATCAGAATTTTACCTGGGGGTCATGGCTGGAGTACCCTTGTAATTATTCCTAGCTTTATCTGACCCCTTGGCAGTTCTAGAAGTCTCCCAAATTCCTCATTGGACCGCTCGCCAGTCGCAGGAGTTACACATCTTACCCCGTTCTCACGGGACAAGGCTCTATTTTATCATTAAGGTTGAAAGCAGGAGAAACATTCACAAGGTCAAAGATGGGATGAAAATGACGTCTAGATATGCCGACTTTGGCTTGGAATGAAACAGCGCGCTCGGCATCGTTGTGCTCCGCTTGGCGCATTAGCGGAAGATCTCTCTCTCACGGTAATGAGGATCTCTACTTGCGACGGGATGAAAAACTTCAACCTCTCAACTTGATCTGTAACCGTATTCATCCTAACCAGCGCAGTATGGCGCCTAGATAACAATGCGCATTGTTCTGCTTACTCTGCGTATAATGTCGACCTTCCTCGGTTAGAAAAGTCCAATATGTTTACTCCGTCCCGGAATTTCTGAATACCTAGTCGGTGCCAGATATACCACCGGCTTTGCGCGCTTCAAGCACCGGTTTTCTCGTGTTTGACTAACCTGGGTGCCAATGAGGAAAAGGCTGGCAGCCGGAGCTATGAGTGCCCTAAGCAATCCGAGTTTGAAGCACGTCCCATAATACAATGATGAAACTCGGCCGACCCCTGATTCACGATCAGGGCTATCACGTGGGAACTTCTTGTTCGCAAGGAATATTCCCCTATCCGTAACCAAGATGCTAAGAAACGCCAAGAACCGGCCACTGCAAGGGAAATGATCTTCCCGCCCAGAAATCGAGAAGAGAAAAAAACAGAACTGCCTATTACGTGAGTGAGGTAACAACTTTTAGGCCAGCCAAGATTTCGGGGTCCAACTTCATAACTTTAAGGAACTGATAAATATAAGTTCTTTACATGTCCCTATGCGGCGAGCGTCGTCTCGAAAACTATCACATTCCCTATCGGCGACCTCGCCAAGAAGCCTTAAGTCGTATGTATGCCGCAATAACCGAAAGCATCTAGTAGAGGAAGCTAGGTAGCTTTGAATTTAACTGGAACACTCTCCGGGTTACTACATAGAGGATTTCCACGGGCCGCACCCAAGCCTCACTCGTATCCATCCGCTACTAAGAAAGCAATAACGTTTATTTTTTCAACATGACAGCATTTCGCCTTTTTAGATTCCATTCCTATCCCTATCGAACATATCTTTGGGACTGGATTAAACGAATATTCTAGTTTTAGAGATCCTTTGAAAAGTTCTATTACAATTCGTTAATAGGCTGGGTCGTTCCAGAAGCCTTGTCAGCTATGAGGTCTAGCCAAGTCGCGAGACGGTATCCTGCCTTGGCCACCTGAAGCTCGATCACAGGGGCGGCTTTCTCATAGTAATCGCCCGCGAGCTCCTGGCCGACAATTGCTTCAGGTCCTTCCGGGAGCACTATACGAGGTCGGTCAGCTGTTACATTTCCAAACGAAGATTCGAAATGAAGATGGGATTGTTACCGTGGGAGCAAACAATGGTATTAGACTCATTTGCCCAGCCCATGGCTGTCTGGATAGGATCATCGAAACTAAGGCCGTCATTCCAAAGTTTGCTGGCTGCCTCATACTTGCCCGACCTGATTTGATGGGTAAGGTTGGCCGCCCATGCGAGCCCGGCCACATAAGGCTTCCTATGGATGCCTCCCAGCATCTTTTCTGCGATGCTCGTATCCCAGACGTGGTGAAGGTTCAGTTCAGATGACTCCCATTTAACATGGATACCGTTACCGCCATAAGCGACGTTTTCCACGTGTAAAGGTTGATGGATATCGCCGACGAAATGAATAACGAACTTAGCAGCTTGGTTTCTCCGCGACGGCCACAGCTCGGTATCGAGTAATTGGGACGTGTAATTCTGGATCGAGCTCACAACACAGCCATCTTGCTTGCAATCTCTTTCAAAGTCTACACCACAGTACGTCGGTGGCGTGTCTTTCGCATCGATGAAATGGAAATTCTTGGAAAATTGTCCCCATTTCGTATACCTGATGCTATCCGCCCAAGTAGCTACCCCGGCGAGGTAATGCTCAGTGTCATTCTGTAAGATATTCTGGAAGAAAGCAGTTGTGTCATCCTTGACCAAATTTGTCGCTATGTAAGCCACAGTGATGTGTCCCAAACCTGAGATTTGATGAAAACTACTTGTTAACTGAACAGCTCTTATAAACCGGGGGTTGAATACCTAATAAGGTAGGTATCTATCTACTTACTTCCCCATGCCAGAGCACCTGGTAAGAGCGTGCTCAAGACGATAGCTTTCTGACCAAGCTTCATGATAATTGAGTTAGGTAATTTATAATTTACTTAATTCAATTGCTAAATACGAAATGGCTCTGTTTATCGTCTTATGGATATAAGTTTCAATAACTCATCTCTCAAAAATAAATTATGGATAAGGTATAATAGGGGTATATGAGTAAACACGTGAATCGTTGGTGCGCATCTACCCGTTTTGTCCTTTTCGCAGCATGTCTGGATTTGGTTGTCGAGGGAACACACGCGTGACCATTGGATCTCATCTGATTTGCTGCGGCTGCGGCTGCGAGCATCTAACATAAGACATGGTTTATAAGTTACCTAATGTATAGGTACCTAGGTAGGTAGTTATGGATAATTAACCACCCATCTATCCTCGGGTTTCAACAAAAAAATGTTCTCCGATAATTAAACTTTCGATTCAATCTCGGAGTTTGTTAATTTGAATTCATTACCTGTCATACCTTATGTAAATTATACATCATGTACGTAACCTTAAGAGGTCATATTAGGAGGTAGCTTAAACTATCGGCAACACCCGAGATAGTACTGTGTAAGCTACCTCAAGCTACCTCTGCAGGTGGCGTCACTACTGCGAACCCGAGACTGGTTAATTGCGGAGGTAGCCCCCCCCAAAACTCTGGGGGGCTGCAGCGGGCGCAGGCACAGCTGCACAACTGCATAGCTTTATCGTTGGCGCTAAACCCCATTCGCTACTACCCTCCCTCTTATGCGTCCCTTATCTCTGTGCGACGCTGCACAGTTACGCAGAAATGCGACTAAAGATCGGTGGTGCATGCGATAAGGGAAAACTCGTTGAAGCCACTGACCATCCACTAACCACCCACTGATAACCTCTTTCCAGCTGACTCTTACTAGACAAACCATCTGACTAACTGCTCCTGGGTTGGATCTCTCTCTCTCTCTCTCCCTCTTTCTTTAAACCCAGTCCCTAATATTCCAATTACCAGTCTTCCTTCTATCTTCCATTATCTATTATTATATCTGATCGTACTATTGCTACGTTGAAAATGAATCTCGCTGATATGGCCTTATCGCACGGCCTCTCCGTTAATGAGATGTTATCTGGAGTATTTGGTAGCATCAGTTTAACAGCATGGATCTGTTTGCTCGTACGTATTCTGGGGGACAAAGAGAGCTCTCCATATTTTGTATCACCTTATGAGTATTTTACTAACTATCTATGCGATAGCTTCCTCAGCTTATCACTAATTACAGAGCCAAGAGTGCAGAAGGCCTGTCCATGATTTTCCTAGCTGTCTGGCTCTTTGGCGATCTCGCGAACCTATCAGGTACGTACGTTTATAACATTTCTGCCACTATCCGAAAATACTAGGATTATACCTATCTACCTATCATATATCTTCAACGATGAAGCACGTGCCAAGCTGACCGTTGTCTCTAATCTATCTATAGGTGCTCTTGTGACTGGACTTGCACCCACGGCGACAGCATTGGCGGGCTACTTCTGCATATCCGATGTCATCCTAATCACGCAATGTGTCTACTATAACACCCTCAACGCCCGAAAAACCCGTCAGCGAACACGGTCAACCGAATCTGAGACCTCGGAAGACGAACCCCTCTTGCAGCCGCGGAGGAGGTCGTCTAGCGGCCTTCCAGGCTCGCACAGACGTCATTCGATGCACCATTCCGAGTCCGGTTTAGACCCCATCAAGAGAATTGTCACGGGCGAAGACGATACTCCCGATAACAACCCTTGGTTTCACAACACGCTAAGCGTTGCGGCTATATACGTCGTTGGAGCTGCCGGTTGGTTCGTGTCGTATAAGGTTGGGGCTTGGGACAAGCCAGACGCTCCCGAAGAGCCAGCAGTTGAATCATCAGTTGCCATTCTAGGCCTTGTTCTAGGATATGCCAGTGCTATTTGTTATCTATGGTACGTCTACTTGATCGCGGTAAGCTCTAAAACGCGTGCTAATAGAAGCCCAGTGCTCGAATTCCCCAGATAATCAAGAACTACCGGGAGAAGTCCTGCGAGGGTCTTGCTCTTCTTTTCTTCCTATTATCTCTCACTGGCAATCTAACATACGGCCTAAGTGTTTTCACTTACTCCCCAGAGCCAGAGTATATTATTAAAGCCATTCCTTGGCTCCTCGGATCTCTTGGTACGATTGTTGAGGATTGTATCATTTTCTATCAGTTCAGGATCTACTCGAAAAGGGGAGTGAGCAAGGCCAACGGTACCAGCGAGGCTGCGTAAAGGTGATTGCTTGCAACATCAGATACCTTAGGTACCTATTGTAGGTAGGTTTGGAACGCGGTTTTGTTAACTTGGAATTATATAGGGGTTAAGGTCATCATGGCAGGAGCATTATCTAGGCGTTCTATAATAGGGGTTTTCAGGTGATCCCCGGTTTGGATTTAGATAATATTCGCATCACCGGAAATATGCATTTGATCAAAGCTTTACCGTTCTTGACAAGTTGAATTCTCCAAATTTATACTTAAACCCGTGCGGATTATTGTCGACGGCCCCCAACTAGTCTGTGCTCGACAGGCGATAATTGCACGGCATCTAGCCTAATGAATCCAAACCACCCCCAATACAACCGAGGAATTCTATTTAATGAACAAGTCTATGTGCCTCATCTGATACATATTAACTACACTATTTCGCCCTATACTAAAGCAAAGGGCTGAGATTGCGGTGATTGTGGCTTCGTATAACACACCACATCCATGCCATTCAAAGACATAGAGTGTCGTAGTTCTATATTTATAGGTATTTGACTTAGCATAACCAATCAACTAATCAGCTGAAATTCACTGGTATCACAACATTTGTTATATTGTATTTAGTTACGATACTGCCTTGTTGAGGGGCATTGCCAGTGTTTCGCTTTAGGTACTTAGCCCCCAATACACCATCAAGGCATTATGAGGCCCGTCAAATAACTTTTAAGACTCACACATTCTTATATCTAAGCAGGGTTTGATATAAGCTCCATTCTTCTCTAATAAATGGGAGATAACATATCATATTTCATATGCTCACACTACTTCTCTATACTATTCCACTGCTTACTACTTATAGCACAATATTATCACAGCGTGTGGAAAACGAAACTAGAATAGACATGTCTATTGATCATAGCCAGCCTACGGACAACGAAACGCCAAGCTCGAGAAGTAGCTTGAAGGTAGGCTACAGTTTAGAGAGAAGTCGTGCATCAGCGGATATATCCCTCCTCACGCCATCAGAACAAACCATCAGGAGCCGTAGATATTTGTCTCATGTGGAAGGTATTCAAGCCGATATTACCCACAGCTCAAACCTAGACCCAAACCTCCAAAGATTAGGCGACTCGGAAAGTATACTTAAAGAGGACAAGGTTGCATTAGAACTAAAAGTAGAGCGCTTAAGCACAATTGCCTCTTGGTGGTGGTGGTGGGAGATAGGAGGCTCGGTTCTGAGTCTCGTTAGCATAAGCTTGATTATCCCTGTGTTGAAGCAGGTTGACGATCAACCAGTTGAAATGTGGACGTATCCTATCAGACCAAACTCTATGGTAGCTGTTCTCACCACGATCGCAAGAACAGCGATGATGATTCCTATCGCGTCTTGCCTCAGTCAGCTCAAATGGGGTCATTTTCAATATCGAGCCAACCCACTCCATCACTTGCAGCTCTACGACGATGCAAGTCGAGGGCCATGGGGTTGTTTCTTATTGCTACTCGCTGGCCGCCTCAAAGCTGTTACAGCATGGGGCTTGGCTCTAGTCACATTGGTTGCACTGGCTATCGAGCCAACGGCCCAGCAGATGTTGGAGCAGCAGATCAGGCAGGCACTCCTAACAAACGTCACGGCCCAGATAGGACGAGCTGGTAACTATACGTCAAAGGCTATATGGTCTAATTCGATACAAGGCTATGGAGGTACGTCTTGAAATCCGGTTCCTATTGGGGGTTCGGCAGTTTAATAAAATAGCATATAGGCCCGCGTGATCCAAATCCCGATTTATTGAAGCTTCAGACGACTATTGCGAACGGTGCCGTAGGTTCTATCCAAGAAGTTAACTTCTATTGCCCTGAACCAGCTGCGAAGTGCACCTGGGATCAATTCGACACACTAGCAGTCTGCGCTAGCTTTAAAGACGTTACCAATATTGCTAACAAGACCTGCAAATCTAGCAGGTATCAATACGTGTGCACATTTGAATTCCCCCAAGGAGAGCCCATAGAGATGTCATGGCGAGGGGGAAACGGAGGCGGCTCGTTATTCAACACGTCACGAACCTGGAATAACTTAGACGGTGTCATAGAAGGTGTGCTAAATGGTGTTAACAATACGGATCGGTACGATGGGATCACATTTACGAATACGGAAGCCTTTACGATTACCTTAGATTTCTGCGTCAGGACCTACCACAACGTCGTCGCAACGCTCGCCGGGATCCAAGAGGCCAATTATACCACCGAAAAGCTCCTCAGCTATGACTGGTCTCAAGAGGGAGCCGGAAACCCGTCCCTTTATTTCACATACGACACGTTCCGCACAAACTCTTCTAGGGAACTCTTTAACATAAGCGTCTCCTTACGAAACGGGCTCTTCGAATACGTCAACAAGCTCTTTTCGACAGATCTAACTTCGCCCCTAACAGACGAAGCCGCTAACACGGACTTTAGCTTTGGCGAGTTTATGTACCACACGAATCTAACCAATTTCACCAAGAACATCGAGGATACTCTCACGAATCAAATACGCAGTTCCGCCCCCGGCGACAACAGAGACGCCTTGATGTGGCCCGGCCAGGCGTTCCGCCAAGAGACATACTGGCACGTCCATTGGCCGTGGATCATCTTACCGGTAGCCGAAGTCTTTATAACAGCGGTGCTACTTTCCGTCTCCATCGTATTGACTAGGAACCAACCGCTACTCAAGTCTTCGCCGCTAGCTCTGCTCTTCCACCCTCTCGACGGCTATGAAGGGGACGAGCCGGTGCATAGTATGAGAGAAAGCGTTGGAAAATTAGAGGAGCTGGCGAAAGGGGTTTGTGTGGAGTTTAGAGAGGATGACCATGGTTTATTGAAGTTTTTCCCTGTAGAGGATAGGGGTTCGGCGAATTAGATCGTGCTGCTACCTATTATTTATCATGGGTGTCCTCTTAGATTGTATATACCTGACTTAAAAATCCATCACTCGACTCTCTCTTATCAAGATCTAAATTTACTGTAACATCTTATTCTCGGGTGTGCATGGTGATAGATGTATAAGTCCTACCCATACTAGCGAATCAAGACTTAATAAGCATTTAGTATATATCCTTTTAGGATACACTCACAAAATTTAGCCAATGGGATACAAAAGATATGTTAGTATTCGACCATCATTAAGTTTAGGTTTCTTAATACAGTATTATATTGAAAGTTCCGATCATTAAGTATCAAGATGATGCCAAACTAGCAACTATGATACCATAAGAACCACACCTCCATCATTATTCAAACCTGTCAATAATTCCGGCCTTATAAGATTATGAATTATTTCACGTCAAGAAATATTTAGCTCAAGCGAGGGTGAGTTTAGGAGTTTACTTATACGTTAACTATATAAATATATAAGAGATGATTATGGTAAATTCATCTACATAGGTACCTAGGTAGGTAATCTAGCTTTAGTTGCCAGCAAGGTAAAATCATCGCGAGTGACTGCCTGTCGTACTCGATAATATCTGCCATATAGGTTATTACCGGGTAGGTATGCGTCGTAGTATTTAAATAGCTAACGACCAAATGCCCATGCGAACCATCCTTGTTGTTGTTTTGGTGGTGGTCTGCTGCATTCCGAACAACATTTGGGGTCCTCAATATCCTCGGGAATCCTCTCATCGGTAGGAGGCGGATACAGGCATTTGGGTTTGCTAAGGTCAGGGCATGAGTTTCCGGTACCCACAACTGGGTTTGTAAACGTCCCGTGGCCGCAGCTGTATTTCACAAACTGGTATACCATTTTACACATGGTGTCTGATTGGCAGGATGGCGCAAGTATGCGGTGGTAATTTGTAGGAGTTCTGAGGGAGATGGTGTGTTGGCGACGCGAAAGGAGTAGATAGAGTGGTTGAGCTATTTGTGGATGAAGAGAAGTAGTTGATTGATCAAAGGGGTTGTTGATGGTTAGAAATGCTCCCTCATACAAGGACGGCGCAAGTGTTTAAATATGCATAGGTATCTACCTAAGCTAGGTACATATATATATTCAATACACAGGTGTCGCTATAATTATAGTTATTCAATTAACTTCGTATTAACTCTACTACTCTTAGGTTCCTAGTCACAATATTCGTGACGTAGCGTAAATACAACTACTAACAATATCCGATGCTAATGGTTGGGCGTGAAATATGTTTCTCTCAAGATTTTAACAAGAAAGTTGTTAGATGATGGCCTACATAGATCGTAGGGTCATTGGTGAATCTTGTTAAAATAATGTCATCGTGTTATAATTCACTGAGATATATTATTTTTATAGGGTCATCCGACTATCCTACCTGGAGGATGAGTGATGGACATGATAAATGGATGAGGGAACGGGACTTGGGTATTGAATATAATTAGAAGAGAGATGAGATCGGCTTTACTTATACTACACACGAGCATCTATATGTTGATACCAACATTATCTCTTAATATACTAAGTCCCTCCTATAGAGACTCCTGTATAGACTCCTGTATAGACTTCTGTATAGAGCTTAAGGATACTACCTCTAATTATATACTGGTGTTTCTAGGCTTGGGGTCTATTAAGTATCGATATTATATAAGCAGGTACATTACTTGGAATTGGGAATGTGGGGATCGAGATTATATAATACATCTAATTGTACCTGCATTAATGCAGCTAGCTAAGACTCTTAGCGTAGGAGATACGTACCTAGTAGGTACCCCTTTTTTTATTACAGCGACCCCTGCTCGAAACATCCAATTTCAGCTAAGAGAATAGAAGCAGTCGTGACATTCTCTTTTTATTTTCTTATCATCACAACTACCAACATCCAATTCGTCATTCTCTTTTCTGCTCTATTTGCCTTTTCCCCTGCCGGTTAGCTGTAGTCTCACACTCTTTCTTGTTTTTGCGTCGGCCCGGCATTTCGCTCCTTTTTTTTCAAGTTAGCATTGCTAGGTACCTACTCACCGCCTGCTTTCCAAACGAACAGGAGATAACGATACCCCTTTGAAAGAATCTACGCGTTCGGGCGAATCCATTTGATTTAAAGATACCACAGCAAGAAGGAAAGGTATAGGAAATATGCGTTTCTCGACTATTCTCTCGGCAGCCGTGGCCACGGGCCCAATCGTGGCGTCGGCCGCAGGTCAACTAGGATTTGCGTTGGGTAACAAGAAGGCCGATGGCAATTGTAAGGAATCGAGCGACTACGCGGCTGACTTCGCTGCTCTGTCGAAGGAGACGAGCGCCAAAGTCGTTCGTATCTACGCTGCTTCCGACTGCGATGTCGCGAAGCTGATCCTACCTGCTGCTAAGACGGCTGGATTCAAGGTTGTCCTGGGCATCTGGTTAGTAATATACCGTTTTATTAACACTTTCGTATTTGATCTATTCTGAGGGTAGACTTCAACCCAATTTGCGAGAAGGGGGGATATAGTTACTAACGATGACATCAAATAGGCCCGACACAGATGAATCCTTCAAGGCTGACAAGGCAGCTGTCGTCGAGTTCGCACCAAAGTACAAGGACCAGGTATACGCCATTACCGTAGGCTCGGAAGCCATGTACCGTGGCAATTTGACGGGTCCGGAGCTTGTGTCCAAGATCCAGGACGTCAAGTCAGCTGTGGGCAAGGGCTTCAAGATCGGCACGGCCGACTCGTGGAACAAGTACGCAGATGGTACGGCTGATGCCCTTGCGGAATCGGGTAGCGTGGACATTATGCTATGCAACGCTTTCTCGTACTGGCAGGGTCAGGTGCTGTCGAACGCGACGGGCTCCTTCTACGATGATATCTTCCAGGCGTTCGGCCACATTCAGGAGAAGGCTGGCGGCACCGACAAGATCGAACTCTGGGTCGGCGAGACAGGTTGGCCTACCGGCGGTGACAAGTACCAGAACGCGCAGCCCGGTGTCAAGCCCGCCTCGACCTTCTACAGCCAGGCCGTCTGCGGTATGGTCGACTGGGGATTCAACGTCTTCTTCTTCGAGGCTTTTGACGAGGCCTGGAAGCCCAAGGCTATTGGTGAGGACGGCTCCGTCGCTGACGAGACCTCGTGGGGTGCCATGACCGACGACCGGACACCCAAGTACAACCTCAAGTGCTAAACCTGCTTTCTTGTTTTATTCTGCTAGTAGACGGGGATGTGCGTAGGAAGAGATGGGGGGAGCATATAGGCGCTGATTTAGATGTCGATTGTAATTATATGTTGTCATATACTACCGCTAAGTATATGTTGACAGTAGTTGACATATAGGAGATATAGAAGATGTGATACCATATATAATGTTATATTCGCAATCATTTATTATATTACCTAGTAGGACCTGTTTACTGAAAACTTATCGCAGTATGTACGAACGTACAAATGTCATACGAATTTTGTGTTAAAGAGCATGAAGTGTTTCTATCCTAGCACTCTACGATTAGAAGCACCGTTTAGACATTTGTCATGGATGTAGGATTAGAACCATTTGCAAATTGCGAAGTAAATTTTGTATTTCCCGGGTTTAACGACGAAAATCAATAACCCCAAACTTGGGCTTGAACACAATGCCACACATTCATTACCGAATTTCACAACCACAAATGTTTCTTCGCGACCTTGTCCATGTAACCATTAACTTGACTGTATCCAAGTGATCGAAGTAATCTCTTTCGAGAACTTCAAGATCTATTTATTTACCCAACGCCGGCGCTTCCCTAGTTCGTTCCTCGGAACTGGATCTATTCCAACAGACCTCTCGTTTAAGACGTGAGTGTGGACTCGTCACGAGCGGAGGGGACTGCAAGGGGTCATGTTAGTTGAAATTCTCTACTCGTTTATCCTTTTTTTCCAGTCCTAGTCCCTAACGGTGTAGGGTGGAAAAGAGAGAGAAATGGCTTACCCGCAGCCGAAAGGAGTCGTTTCGCCGAAGAAGCAGTCGTTGCTCGCCTTAGGTACGACCTGATTCTGGTGGATAGGGGTGATAACGACACCGGCACTGGCGAGGGTTGCGCAGAGCGCGGCGAGGAGCGTTGTAGCGAATGCGGTCTTCATCTTGAATGATTGATTTGGGGAACGGTTTATTGTCGATCTCGGTGTGTAGGTATATATGAGGTATGTAGATAGATAGATATGTATGTACAATATCGCAAAAGTGGTAGATTGATGGGTAAGATAGACCAGCTAGCCCTTTTGTTTAGCGCGTTCGTCTGTTCGTCCGAGCGAAGGTATGGATGGTGTGGGTTATGTGGGTTTTATTAATCTCGTGTCGCGGGCTTCCGAATTAAATAAGGTATAATGCAGTTATTTGATATGTATGTATATAAATGTAACGATTGTGGGTGAGCGATAACCAGATCGCAATGTGGATTATCAAAATCAAAATCTTTAGAGAGCGAGAAGAGAATTTTGTGGAAGTGATGTGCGGAAGAGAAACCCAAACTAGAATTGACGACTTCACGATCTAGCAAAAAAAAAAAAAAGGCCAAGGAAGGGATAGCAGAAGGGAGAAGAGGGAAGGAGGAATCCATCATCATATGATCCATGTTCCCTTACACAAGCCACGCCGAGGACCTAACGTTACAGTTACAGTTACAGTGCAGCGGGTACTGTGCTCGTTATCATTGGATGCCTTCAAATGAAGGGGAAAGGAGGTAATGTATTACAGTGTATTGGTTTCTAACTATGAATAATAGCACTGTATCCCTATATAAAAACCCCGGCTCCGCATCTAAATCTGCGACGGACTACGTTCGAGAACAACGGAGATGAGCCAAGTTTCATCAGGACGAGACAAACCCTAGTTTGATGGAAGCTTAATGGAATAGAGAGAGGATATAATTAATAACGATTATACATATGTCTTTTTTTTTTTCTAGGTTACAAGATTCTTAGTACGGATTATATATAACTAGTTAACTACCTAAACTATTATAACTTTGCCAAGAATTCTAATAGGAAAACTAGGTAATAATCGAAACTACTCAATTGTTATTTAACTAGTTAGTATATTGTGTTTTAGGTAGTTTGTCTCTCCAGCTCAACTCGACTATTCATACATCCCTAATGCAGCTTAATATGAGCCTGGCGCGTAAAACGAATAGTGCTGTCGCCATACACACCTAATGAAGGGGGAGCAAATCGTAAGACGACTAGTCCCTGATGGTACGATGTGGTTCTGTCTGCCTCGTCTATTAGTGACACACCTATTCTATGTACATATATAGCTAGAAGCTTATGAATGCTATGCTCAGTTAAGTAAATGCTAGACGCAATATAAAAATAATCCGAATCGTATATATTTGAAGTGCCTTGCTCCCCCTGATAGAGAAATGAGGTACGCAATGGAAATATTACACTCCGCACTACGATATTTCGCATTCATCGACTACTATGGTCAGGATTGGGGCCAACCGACGAGACACGAGATATAAATACGCGCTTAGGATTTGAATAATGGTCAAGGTTGTGATAAGGATAGCGCTAATCGATCTTGGCCTTTGCCTTACTACTAGACGGTATATTCTCGTTTCCTAACACGGGGTTAGACAATATAGGACAAGCACGAAGAATATGCACGCTGCTTATTCCAGCATTTGACCTATACTAGCATATACCTTGGCGAAGGGAATCTTGACAAAAGGAAGTTCGCCAGGTTAGAAGACGCAAGTACCGTCAAGTTTCGGAAGTCTTGCACACGGTTAAGCGAGCTTGAATTACACCAACCGACAAGATAGCGCCGTATGACATTGACGACATCCCGATATGCACGTATCCTTTTGAGACTATCAAGTTTCGTAGACTTGGAGTAGAGTGATGCTATTCTGACGAGAGACTCCAAGTGGAGTCGCGAGTCTATAACTTCTACTTAAAGGAGCTATGGGTCAAGTCATATAAGCATACGGCAAGAGAATATTCTTCGTCTTAGTGACTAGTGTAGCTAATATCCCTTTACCTAGATAATAGAATATTATAATGTAAAGGTTATGGTTAACTAATTAAATACTCCTAGTGCTTCAACCTTGAGGTATGTCTAGCAATAGTAGTGGTTTGCGTGATAGGACATATGCTTAGGGCTTCTGCTTAACTGGTATTACGTACCATGTATAGGTAACAGCTCTTTCGATTGAAAAGATCGAGTTAGAGATACTTGAACGGTAATGCGGTAGTCGTGCTTTCGGTACCTAGGATCAGACGCACCTAGCAATATATGATAAAATATACGATGAATGAGAAGACAAGTAGACTCTGAGAATGTTTACTAGACATATGCTAGATATTTCTAGTCACTATGATTATTATCGTATTAATTCAAGCCGAATGATTCATCAATATTGAACTACTCCCACATCGCAATCGCTACATTTTTACCACAACGGGGGTGAAGCGTCCAAATCCAGCGGGATGTATGTCGCCGCCTGTCTCCTCTAGGTATCACTTCCTCCACCTGATCGCCTCCTCGACACTATTCCAGCAGCAGCAGCAGTAGCAGCGATAATGTACATTAAAGTTAGGAAGGGTCATCGCCCTTCCTAGTCATTCTGCGCGTTTCACCACAGCATCCCATGAAAATCTGCGTATTTCTCAAAAAAAAAAAAAAAACCAAACAATAAAAAACTTATGACATTCCTGAACCAAATCAACTCCGTGGGGCATCGCAATCGGTCATATCTTCGGAACAAGGTCTCCAAATGACGACGGATTGGATAGTTTGCGTGGGGGTTACAGTTCATTCCGTCTTCAGCGCAGGAAACACATTTAGAGAAAAAAAGGGGGCTCGTGGAGGATAAAAACAAGATCGTCGTCCTGGAGACTCAAAAGAACGCTAGTAGGTAAGCCTACGAGTCGATATGCCGATAAAGCGCAAAAGACATGCTGTTCCGAACTGAGAGTACAAGGACGGATCTGAATTGAAATAGGAAGTGATGAATCGTGAAAAAATAAATGTGTTCTGATACACATCGTAGTTGCTGTACAAGGGTATTATTTATTAGGAGATTGACAAGGCTGGCGATCAGCATATTTCCCTAGGAATTTCGCGTTTGGGTTTTGAGGACCAAGGTATTTACGAGGCATGATTGCCCTGGGCAGTCCCTATGTTGTCGGTCGCGCGCTCCTCCGCGTCGAGCCGCTTCCTCCAGTCAGCCAAGCTCTCGCTGAGACCGACAGCGTCGCTCTCTTTTTTGGTTCCGAGTCCTTCAAAATCGAAGTTAGTTGAAAGTCGATAGTTCTTGTTTGTTGCCTCCCAGTGGGACCGTAACATATCAAGTTCGTTAGCTAAATCGTCGAGAGCCGTGCTGTTCCTATTATCGCCAACACCGCCAACAGCACCAACACCGCCAGCACCGCCATAGGAGCTTCCCGCCTCTGAGCTCTCTTGTCGAATATGCCCCAAGCCACCGTTTGGATTAGGAGTGCCAATATTCATTTGATCGGTGCTTATTCGGCTACGTCTCCGATAATTATCAACTGAATTTTCTACCTGGTCGAGTAGTAGACTGACTTTTTGTTCAGCATCTTGCACTCGCTTCTCTAGGAGGGCATTCTCTTGCTGCATTTGCTCAAGCTCCTTCTCTCGAATAGTCAGTTGCTCTGCAACGTCATTGTGGGATCTGGCTGTGCTGTCACGCTCTTGATTGGTAGCATCTAGCTTCCTCCGTAATTCGATGAGTTCTTGTTCAAGTTGTGCAGAAGTTGACTTGACTTGTTCCTGGAGACCTTCTATCTTATCCTCTAGCTCCGAGCGCTCAGCTTCCCAATCCGCAGGCGTGGCATTGTCATGGAGGCTAGAACGTTCCTCTAGCTCGATATTTTCGTTCTTTAAACGATTGTTCTCAGATTGAACTTGGGCAAGCTCTTGCTTCATCTTCTTAAGCATCTTCTCTGTGCCCTTAACATAGTGGACGGCAGACTGGTAATCGTTCTCTAGTTGGACTATTCTGTTGCGATAAGTAGTCTCAGATTCTTGAATTTGGGCGGCAAAAGTCTGCTTTGTCTCTTCGTGGGCAGCAACTGCTTGCGCAAGCTGCCGTTCAAGATCGTTATTGCGAGAAGGGTTAGGCGAACTGGTTCTGGAGCCCATCTCTCGTACCCGAGCAAGATTGGTCGGGCTGATGCCCCTTT